CCCCTCCGAGGGGGAGGCGGCTGTCACATCAGGAAGCACTTGCCTGCAGGCCGGGGAGTCGGCGCCCTCCGGGGGGCGGGGGAGGAATGCGGACGTGGCTTCCTTGTGTTTCGCCCCGGGAAACGCGGCGGCCGAGGGTGCAGGAGCTCAGGGCGCGGTGGCGCAGGGCGGGGGAGGCTGAGTGGAACCCGGGGCAGATCTGAGACGAGCCAGGAGGGGCCTCGCGATCCCCGCCCCTCCTGCTGCGCGCAGGAGCGGAACAGGAGGTCAGGGCGCTCCCAGGGTCGTGGGAATCGCCTGGGGTGCGGGACGTGGGTGCCCGCGTGGGGTGTGAACAGAGAACACCCTGCAGAGCCAGACAACACGGAAGCGGGGGCAGGTGCTGGTTGCCATCCGCCCCGGGCCATTCATGGTCCCCACTGCTTCTTTCTTGTCCCTTTTGCCTGGAGGTTGTTCCTCCACCCCCCTCGGGGGGACCCCTGCTCACTGCTGAGTCATTTTCACATTGCTCTGCCATTTTCCTGTCCTCGGGAGTAAGTCCTCTCCTTAGCAGGGTGAGCTCCCTCTATGGTTTTGAACTTCTGTCCTTGGACCCACCCTAATGGGAGGCCCTACCCCCACGCTCTCCCGCCCGCCCACCTCACCTCGTGGGCGTTGCTGTCCCACAGCCTGGACGCCGCTGGCGGGCGATCCGTGTTCACCGCGCGGGCTCGGGGCCGTCCTGGGGGTGCTCAGGGAGCACGCAGCCTGGCCCTGGGGCCAGTTGGGGCTCCCTCTGCCTCTCCAGGGTGGGTCATGTATTGGCTGCAGGCCCGGGCAACGCCGCCGCCCGCGCTCCGCTTTCTCTGGGGCCTGGAGCCGATCTCAGGCCTCAGCCGCCGTGGGCCGTGAGCCCCGCTCCGGTCCTGGCCTCGGGGGCCCGCCGAGCCCCCCGTCCTGCAGGCGGGGCCCCCTGCCCCCTGCCTGTTTCCGGACTCGGAGTCTCTGTCCACGCAGTGCTCCGTCTGGCCTTTGGGCGGGACCGACCTGGAGAACGTCCCTCTAGGGCTCCTCCCGGCGGTGCGATAGGAGCGGTGTCTGTGGGGCCCGGGAGCTTGAGTAGCTCCACTTGGCGAGCAGGCCTGTCGTCTCTCCGGGACGCGGGGGAGCGCGCCACGCGCAGGCGAGCTGTATCTGCCGGGCTCCCCACGGCGCGCTGACCCGGCACCATCACACCCACACAGCGTCACCGTGAAGTGTGGTCGCCACCCTTTCACAGAGCAGGAAGCCTAGGGCTCAGAAAGAAGGAAGAAACCGGCACGCGTGCCCCAGCTGTGCATTCGGCCACCCCCGCCCCAGGCTCATTTCAGATCAGGCTCCGCCTGCTGCGCGCACCGCGCCCCAGGAGCTAGGGAGCCACCTCAGGGCGCCTTCCCTCCTGTCCCAGGAGAGTGAGCAGAGGGACGCTGCCCAGGGAGCGGCTCGCCCGAGACCCCAGCGCGTGGGCCTGCCCGTCGGGGCCTGGCTGCCAGGGCAGGTAGCTCACTGCCCCAGGCCACCGGGGGGCGGGGTCGCCGGGAGGGGACGCGTGATCCAGCTCTTCTGCTCTGGGTCAGCACACGCGTGTTCACAGCGGCATCGTCCCAACGGCTGACGAGTGGATGCAGCCCGAGGGCCCGTCGGCGGGTGAAGCGCACACACGGTGAGGTCTGCCCACACCATGGAAGGAGGTAGGTCCTTAGAGGAAGCGGACCCTGACGCCCACTGCCCAGCGGAGGGCCCTGAGGACATGTGATCGGTGACGTCAGCCAGACCCACAAGGAAACACAGTGCCCGAGCTCACTCGGGTCGGGGACCCAGACACGTCAGAGCCGCGGAGACAGAGAGCCGGCGGCGGGCGCCGGGGCCGGGGCCGGGGTTCAGCGGGGACGGTGTCCCCTGGGACGATGGTGACGGATGCACAACAGCGTGACCGTGCCGACGCCCCGGAGCTGTGCCCTTCCCTGCGGGTAGGATGGTGAATTCCATGGTGTGTGCATTTACCACAATTAGGTGAGCCGTGGGTACATCCCACCTCCCCATTTGGTCCCCTTTCCCCCGTATTCATGCAGCCCCCGCTCCCTCTGTCCCCTCTCTTTTCCACGCCCGCTTTGGGGGTGCTCCACCCGACGCAGATGCGCTCACGCTGAGCTCTGCACGCGTACCATGGCTGGTGACTTTCTCAGACTGTGGTGTCTTTATTTCACCTGGAGCAAAAGGTAGAATAATGGCAGTGCTTCAGGCAGGGGACGTGGGGGCTGGGGGCGGGGAGGGTCTTAGTCTCGGAGCGCTCGGGGACAGTGGCCCCCACAGCCGAGTCGTGGGTGTGGCCCGTGGGGACAGGCGGAGCCGAGTCAGGAGATGGTCTAAGTTGTGGTCTGGAACCCGGGCCGGTGTGCGCGCAGACGCGGAGTCACTGGGCGGACGCTGCAGCGGTGGTGGTTAAAGGGTGGCGGCCCTGAGTTCTGGGGCAGGCCGTTCAAATCTCGGCCTTGCCCCGCGACCCGCGACCCGCGACCCGCTGGCCGGCACTCCGGGCCCAGCACAAACGACGGCTGTGAGTGAGGCCGCGCGCTCAGCCGCTGCCCGTCCTGCTCCCTCATCTGTCAGCGGGGCAGCGATGGTGCTGAGGGGGGACCGCGCCCACTTTTGGGACCTGCGGGGCGAAGCGCCTTCAGCGGGAGGGGGCGGTCCTCACCCCAGGCCGGCCCGTGGCAGGGTCCCTTTGCCTCAGCCAGGCCCCGGGCCTCGCGGGGGAGAAGCGCCGCCGCTCTCCAGCTGGCCCGCCTGGCGGGGGGCTGTCTGCCCCACTCGGACCCAGGGGACTTCCTTTGTCTTTTTTGGGGCAGTGGTTGATGTGTCTTAGTGACAGTGGCTTCCCATCCTTTTGCTATTCTGAGACCTTTTCCTCCTGTAGTGGGAGAATCTCTCAGCTCGGTTCTCAGGAGAGTGTCCCAGGATGGGGACCTCTGTGTCAGGGACGTGGTGTGCTGTGTGCGCAGGGAAGGGACCGTGCTGGGCCCTGACAGCAGGCAGCCGGGCACAGCTGGGGCCGGCGGGGCGGGGCAGGCCCTCGGACAGGCGGGCAGGCCTGGCAGCTGGCGCCTAGGGCACTGCGCTCGGAGTCCTCGGCCGTTTCCGGGCAGGCGCGGCCGCCGCCACGTCAGGGAGGAAGCCCTCCTCTGTGTGTTGGCCGCATAGAGCAGGGCCCGAGGGCAGCGACGGGGTGCCCAGGGTCGCGACTGCTCTTGTGTGACAACATGGCCAGAGCCCGGGGCGGAGGCGGCTGCCAGGGGCGGGCTGCAGGGCCCAGGACTGGAGTGGAAACAGCACGTGCGAAGGCCCCGGGGCGGGGGCGGGGCAGAGCTTGGCTTGTGGAGGGGACAGGAAGGAGACCAGGGTGGCCGAGCATGGTGGGTGGTGGCCACAGGGCAGCAGGCCGCAGCGGAGAGGTTTGTGGGGCTGGACGCTGTGGAACCCCGCAGGCCAAGCCGGGAGTTCAGTCTGTTCCGATTGCTGTGGGCGCCGCGGGAGGCTTCAGTCCGGAGGCGGCCTGCTCTGGTTATGCCTCCGAAAGCCCACACTGCCTGCTCCGCGGTCCGGACGTGGGGCCGTTGGGCCTTGCGCCCAAGCCCCGTTTCCCTCACTCACTAGTACGTGAGGGCCTTCAGCCGAGCTGCACCTGTGGTGCTGAGGCCCAGAGACGAGACGTCGCTCTTCAGCGAGGCATGACGTTTCCGCCTGGAGCTCGCGGCTTGTTTCCAAGCTCACATCACAGTAGCAGGTGGCACGGAAGCACTCCTGCCGGTCAGACCTTCCCCGACCCCTTGGGAACAGCTTCCCCCGACCCTGTTCCGCTCAGGAGCGCCGGGGGCCGCTGCCTCTCCACGGCTGCCGCAGACGTCGCCGGGTTACGCGAGCGCTGCACGCAGAGCGCTGGCCACAGGGAGGGCTGGGGTGGCCGCGAAGCGCGGCTTTGGCAGTCTGTTCGTGAGGCGTGATCCGTGTGGCGGCTCCTGGGGAGGGGAAGGAGCGGGCTGGCGTGCGGCCCCGTGGAAGGAGCCGGGGAGCAGCCTGGGGCGGCTTCTCACGGGGGTGCCCTGCTCTGTCCCAAAGAAGCCCCGGGCGAGACTTGGAGCAAGGGCGCCCCAGGCCGCTGCTGAGAGACGCGGCCCTGGGGCTCGTGCCGGAGAGCGGGCGGGGTTCCTGGGCTGGTCTGAGCGGCCGCCTTCCGAGTCCACGTCGTTGCCCCCTTTCAAAATGGGTGATATTTTTAGACAAAAAAGTTGGCATCCTGAACACTTTGGGTAACACTATTGTATCTCTTAGGACTTTCGGTTCAAAGGGACAGAACACAATTCCAATCAGTGTGAGCAAGCACAGGGCATCCACTGGCCCATGTGCACGGAAAGGGAGATGTTAGCTTCAGGTGCAGCTTGATCCAGGCGCTCAAAGGGAGCCATCAGGGTCCTGCTGCTGCCTCACATCGCCTGGTGCCCTTTCGTTGGCTCTGTTCTCAGATGGGTTGTCCCCTCATGATGGCAAAGGGCACTTCAGCTGCAGCTTTTGTCCTCAACTTTCCAACCCGCTGGGCAAAACCGAGGGTCTGTCCCAGGCTCCAAGGGCAACACCCCGCTCTCTGTGCGCGCAATTGGATCACGTGCCCTTCTCCACCAATCGCTATTCTGAGGGTTGGAGTTACACGATTGGCCACCCTGGGGCACACCCCCAGTCCTGAGCCAATCGCTGTGGCCGTGGGCAGGGAGGAGAGGGGGCGACGTGCGGATTGGCCAGCGCTTGGTCGTGTGTGTTCACCCCGGCAGGAGTGGACCCAGCACAAAGGCCCGGACGGGGGCGCTGGAGGGGAAGGTTCTACAGAAAGAATTAAAGAGGACGTGCCTGCTGGTGGGGACGAACGTCCACGGCTCTGACCATGTTGTAAACAGCTTGCTCTCTCTCTGTTGCTGCTTGTAGGTGAAAGAGGAGCATGCCTGGCTTAGCCACACACTCGCGGTCGTGACCCGAGAACGCGATTTGGCCGTGAAGGAGAAGTGCCAGCTTCAAGCCAAGCTGGAGAACCTAGAGCAGGTGCTGAAGGTAGGGCGCCGACCCCGCTCTGCGCAGGGCCCGCGGGAGAGCCGAGAGCAGGCGCTGAGGGCGGGCGCCGACCCCGCTCTGCGCAGGGCCCGCGGGAGAGCCGAGAGCAGGCGCTGAGGGCGGGCGCCGACCCCGCTCTGCGCAGGGCCCGCGGAGGTCCTGAGTGGAAAGGGGTTGAAACTCCTTTTCTTTGTCATCAGAATTCAGGGCTCTTGGTGCTGTTTTTACCCTTTTTATGGTATAAAATGTGATAAATGACAAAATTCAAGTGTTTCTGGAAGCGATCCCAAAAAACCAATTATGCACTTCCATTTCTTGGGATGTTAAACACAGCTGAGCGGGAGACGGCAGGCGGGCTGCCTTAAGTGGGGACGGAGGCGTCTACGCTGGCTTTTCAAACCTCATGAATGTAATGACCTTTGTTACAAAGCCAGAAACCTGCTTTATCAGGGCACCGGGACTGGGAGACTCCTCGTGCGTTTCTGGGGGGCGGGGGGCGCCTCCAGTATCTAGGGGGTGGGGCGACCTGCTGCTGACGTCACTGAATTGAGCTGAATGAGTCCTTCGGCTTCTTTATTTTGGGGCATGTTAAATTTCACTGCATGCTCGTGACGGGCACAGGTGTAGAACATGAAGGCACAGAAGAGCGACCGTGTTGGATCCTACAGACCAGCACCTTCACCCCCGGACCAGCCACCCAAAAACTCACATGCACGCAGCCAGCCCCGCGTGTTTCACAAGCAGGGACCAGCCACCCCTTGCGCGGCAGCCCCGCCCCAGGCAGCAGCAGCGACTCGGCAGCACCTGTGACCCGTGGGGAGGGCGCTGGGCTCTGAGGGGAGCCCAGGGATCAGCAGGGGGCAGGGCCGGTGAGCGGAAGGGAGTGACTGCTACGGGGCATGGCTTTCTTCTGGGGGCGACGCAAATGTTCTGGAATCCGTGCGATGGTCACACGACCTTGGGAGTGGACTGCGACCGCTGAATCGCCCGGTTCCGGAGGCGAATTGTATGGCGCGTGAACTACCTCTCAGTTTAAGAATGAAGACGCCCTGTTCTCTCCCCGCTGGGCCCCAGCCGCCGTGTCCGGCCTGCCCGCAGGGCGCAGGCCAGTCTTCCTCTGGCCTGGAGTGGGCACGGGGCCTGGTGTTCCGACCAGCACAGGGGCACTGGCCGCCCTCCCGTGTGACCCCAGGTTTGACCCTCAGCCCCAGGGCCCTGCGCTTGTGGAGACACCCCAGGCTCACACCCAGGCTCTGTCCCCCCCGCTCTGTGCGCAGCCCTCTCCTTGGCTGCCTCCTCCCCATCTAGCGGGGACAGACCAAGGGTGTCACATGTCCTTGGGGGACAGGTGGGGGAGTAGACTGTGCCGGAGCTGGGTGTGAGCTTGGGGACTTTGGGACGGGAACTTCCAGGGTCCAGGCAGCTGCATTGTGGTGTGGGAGGGAGAACGTAGGATCTGGCGGGTCACAGATGCGCGGAGACCCTGTGAGGAGCAGGCCAGCGAGGCACCGTCCCTGCGTCACATTCCAGGAGCCCAAGCAAGGCCCGGGCCGCCCGCGTCGAGGGACATAGGAGCTGGGCGCTCGCTCACTGAGCGCGTGGATAGGGGAGTGATCGCGAGCTGAGGGCCGGTTCTGCTTCTCGTTTGCGAAGGGTCATGCCTGCGGCCCCACTGAGAGAAACATGCGGGGCAGGAACGGACGCCGGGGCCTGGGTCAGGAGCGCGAGGGGCGGCTTGGACTGCGTGGGTGTGGCGGGGGCAGGGGGGCGTCGCGGGGTCTGGGGGTATTTTCAGGGCAGAATTGGTGGCTTGACGGGGGGACTGGGCAGGGATGTGGTGGGCGGCAGCGTCTGGGCCGCACTGGACGTGTGCATGTGAGTTTTTGGGTGAATAATGGGGCCATTTGCCACGGTGGGGACACTTGGGACAGGCAGGTGGGGGCCGGGGATCACCTGGTGACAGAGAGCACCGTGACCCGGGACCCTCAGCCCTCTCTCGGGGCCGCCCGGCTTGCTGTCGGGGAGGTGGCCCGAACCTCTGCAGGTGGGTGGGGACGGAGAGGCTTGGGGCAGGGACCCCGGGCTGAGCGTGGGGCTCAGATTGCGGTCACCGCCTGTGGTCATTAGAACACTTGCTGGTCACAGCCCAGGGAATTGTGCTGCCTCATACCTGACGTGTCTCAGGATGGGGCCGAGGGGCCACGGCGTGCAGTGTGTCAGGCGCTCACTGCGCCTTAGCGGGGCCATTGCCGCCCCGCAGTGGAGCCGCGTGCGCTCGGACTGCTCATGCGTGCACCGGTCGTGCTCCTACGGTGGCTTCTTTGTTTCCAAGTATCACGGATGTGCCACTTGTCTTCAGACTGACAATTCAATTTAGCGAAAGACAACGCGGGGCTTTTCGCTACTGGCCTGTGACGGGCCGTGAGAGTCGCGAGCCGCCGCCACAGCTCTTCCCAGAGGCCCCGTGCTGGGGCGCCGCCAGCAGCTCTGCGCCCGAGGGGCCGGGGAGCAAGGCCGCCCCTGCTGGCGTCCCGGGGGCGGGCCCCAGGCGTCCGAGACGCAGGCTCCCCAAGACCTTCCCGGGCCGGCTGTCACCGTCTGGGGGGGCGGGGGGACGCTGACAGAGCCCGCTCCCAGGGGCGCGCCCCGGCCTCCAGCGAGTGTTATTGGGCATCTGATCCGGGCCGAGCCCTTCCTAGGTGCTGGAGAGCGGCGCCAGACCCGGGCCCCTGATGCCGGCGGAGCTGAGGAACACGTTAAGGAGCACGCCTGGCAGTGACAGTGAGGGACAGGGCTGGCCCCATCGCTGTGCTCTCTCAGAGTTGCTGGTGGGGGAGACCTCGTGGACAGCGTGGCGCTGGACGGGCCCAGGGTGGACGGAGGGCGGCAGCCGTGCAGGAGCCCAGGGGCGAGCACGCCTGCAGGCAGACGGCAAGCTCGGGGGCCTGAGCCGGAGGTCGGGGCCCTGGCGCGTCGGGGAGCGCGGGGCGGCCAGAGCCGGCGCCGTGGCCGCGGACACGAGGGCATGGAGTCGGCCGCGAGGAAGCCCTGCGGGCCCGCGGCTGTGAAGGAGCAGGCGGGATCCAGGCCCCGGCCCCGCCCCCACCCTGCCCTGTCGCTGTCATTAACCTTGCACCCCGTGTCCCTGGAGGGCGCGTATTTTTACGCATCCCTGCTTTCCTGAGAGCTACTTCACGTTGACTTGGTTCACCAGCCTGGGACACGTAAATGCTGTCTCCACCCCAGTTGTCTTCGTCCATCTCCTAAGCCGCACGTCCCTTTGGTCCCTAAGAAAGAAGCCGGCGCAGGTGTCTGTCGCCCTGCACCCTCCTGTGACCCCGCGGCTGGCGCCGCGCACCTGGGGTGATTTCCGTGTCCGCGGGAGGCGTCTGACGGGCCCCTGTGAGGAAGACGGCCCCTCCTCCCACGGACAACGCCCTTCCTGGGGCCAAACAAGGACGACAGGCTCGTCTTCCACGAGGACTCACTGGAACAACGTGTCGTTGGGCAGCTGGGTGACCGTGCATCCGAACAAGGCTGGCCGCGCGGAGCCCGGGAGCGCTGAGCGGGCCGGGTTGTGCGCCGTGAGCCGTGGCCGTGGAAGAGCGGACGCAGGCCAGGGCGGCAGCGGTGAGGCGTGCACCACCCCTGAGGCCTGACACGTCGGGCGGCTTCCACGCTCTGCTGCGTGGCCGCGTGGGGCCTTAGGCAGGTCGCTTGCTTCCCGAGGCGGCCGCCACCGGGGAGCGCGGCTCGTGCTCAGCATCCGGCGTGGAGGTGCGCGGACCCAGATGGTGCGTGGCAGTGGCTCGATAAGCGGCAGTGTGTCTGCTTTGTTGTCCTCTTACCAGTGCCGTCGGCCTAGTCACTCGCCGCCCTGCTGGAGGAGCCTCTGGGCGCTGACACGTGCGGGGCCCCTGCGTTTGGTGGAAGAGCAGCATCACGTGGCTGAGTCGCACACCCGTGTGACGCGACGTCGTGTCACACCGTGTTACACGGCACTGAGCTGTGTGGCCCTGTCTCACACGTCCCTGTGTTACATGACACTGCTCCGTGACACTGCGTTACGCGAGGCTGTGCTGCGTGGCTGTGTGGTGCGTGGCTCTGTGCTGTGTCACACTGCACAAGGTCGGCAGGGAGGGCTTTCTCCCACGCAGAGCGAAGGGCGACGCAGGCCCGATACGCGGCAGGCGCTACTCTAATCCGTGCGATGTTCAGAACACCCCTACGGCGCGGGTGTCAGTCAGTAATTAACAGTGGCTGCCTTGTTGATTGTCCGTTGGACAGAGGCTGAACTGTCCCTGGCCCCGAGGGGCAGGGCCCAGCCAGGGAGCGGCGCCCTCTGCTGCGAAGGCGGGCCTGGCGCAGGGGCCCAGGGTGCGCGGCAGCCGAGCCCTCGGTTCAGCAGGTGGGCAGGTGGCCCCGCTGCGGCTCCGGTGTGAACGCGGCAGCCACTGCCAGCCGTGTGGTGAGCAGGGGAAGCCCCTCGGGGCCCAGTCTCCCCCCGGTGGCACGGGGCTGGTCGCTGCACCTACACCCTATGATTAGTATGAGATGAGAATTATGTGACTTACGTAGCAGTGGCCAGCGTGGGGCGATGCCCGCTGCCCGGGAAGAAAGCGAGAAGCCTTGGCTGTCCTTTGCAGAGCACCAGGGAAAAGTGCAGAGGAGAGACGGGGGACTTTTCCAAAGTGGGGAAGAGAGGCCTTCACCTTTTCACCTTTGCACAGGAGCTCATAGTTCTTGCATTTAACATGTAAAAGGGAGAACTGGGGGTGGGAGGGTGGGAGCTCTGTCAGGGCCAGAGCATCCGGCGGTGCTGCTACCCTCAGGTCAAGCCAGGCGGGAAGCAAGCATGCGGGGGAGTCGGAGCGGGAGGCTCACGGGGCCCGGCACACGGCCCGGCACAGCCGCCCGACCTCGCCCTGTCCCCACAGCACATGCGAGAGGCCGCTGAGAGGCGGCAGCAGCTGGAGCTGGAGCATGAGCAGGCCCTGGCGGTTCTCAACGCCAAACAGCAGGAGATCGACCTTCTGCAGAAGGTGAGTGGGAGGCGGGGTGCTCGGGTGGGGCAGTGGGGGGGGCAGTGGGCCCAGGGCAGCCGGGGGGTGCTGGGCGCGGCGGGCTGCTCGCCGAGGCTGCTGTCCCAGGCCAGGGCCCTGGCCTGCAGACACTCGGAGTCCCCTGTGCTCCCTGGGCTCCCCGCGTTCCCCGACCGGACCGTGTTCACGTCTCAGCCAGAAGCAAACACGAAGTGCCGACGCTTGTTGCCGGCAGGGCTCTAGGGGAAGGACTCGGGTCGCTGGCGGGTGGGAGCTGCTTCAGCGTTCGGAGCGAACGGCCCAGCAGCAGCAGCAGCAGCTGGAACTGAACACGCGTGTGCTCCGACCCTGTGGCCTCCCGCCCCGGTGCGCCTGCAGGAAGCACGGGGGCCCGCTCAGCGGGACTTGGGCTTTTGTGTGGTGCTGTTGTGTGGGGCGGGGGTGGGGGCTGGACCAGGCTCAGCGCCCACTTGGGGCCTGGGGGGGCCTGTCCTGCCGCCACCACGCGCAGACCAGCAGCGCACCATCGCTGAGTGACTCTGGTTTGCATCTGTCGTGAGGGAGACCATGTGCTGTGTCATTAAGCAAAAGCAAATCAAGTTTCAGGGTGATAGTTACAGTGTGATCTCATTGACAGAGGGAGAGAGAAGAAAGGAGGGGACTGAGCAGTTTGTGCGCCCACAGCACCGATGACAGGCTTGGGGGCCAAGTCCCTCTTGACCTTTAAAAGCCATGGTCCTCCTGTGTCCCCCCAGTGCATGTGAGACTCCCTCTTTCGGAGCGACAGGGCTTGGGTCCCCATGTATGGTCCTCATCTCCATTTCCTCCCCGAAGCCTCGTGTCCCCCGCCCACCCCCGCTCACCCCTCCCCAAGGGCCGCGGCCCCTGCCCCCGGAGCCCACCCCGTCGGGGCCCAGGTCCTGGTCCTGCGGGCGGGCCGGCAGCCCCTGTGCCCTTCTGACCGCCTCCCAGGTCTCCGATCTCAAAACAAAGGGCCAGGACGGCTCGCCCAGCGTCTGCCGGGGACAGGCGTCTGCCGACAGGGCCCCTCCTGCGGGGTTCGCCGGCAGAGGGCGTTGCTGCGGGTGGGCGGCTTTGCACCCCATCTCTCTGATCCGTTGCCGAGACCTGGCGTGAAGCGCAGATTTCATTACGCCGCTGCCACAGCCCTCGCTACCTGTCGTGACAAGGGGGCTGGCGGCCGGGAGGCGGTGCTTCATTAGATGCCACCCGGGAAGGGCCTGCTGGCACACGGCCGCAGTCGCGCTCTTATCGTCCCCTGCGGTGCCCAGGGGCCCTCGGCGCCCGGTGGTGGCTGTCTGGTACCCGGAAGCCGTGTCCCCAGGCTCACGTGTCTGAGACAGATAACAGCCTGCGGACGTACGATGTCGTCCAGAGGGGCGACGGGCCAGTGCCCCAGCAGAGCCTGGGGCCTGACGTCCCGAGCACCGGATGCTGAGGAAAGGCCACCCGCGCCATCACAGGGCCCACGCGGGCACCTGAGCGCTGTCCCCTGTCCTCGGCTCCTTTTTCTCCGCATTCATCGTTGCCTCTGGTCTGGACACGCGGTGCTTCCTTGGCGGAGCAACAGGACAGGAACTAAGGAAATTCAACGTGCCGCCTTTGTAGCTTCTCGGAGCTCTGGGCTTGGGAAGGGCTGGAAGAGGAAGGCTGAGCCCTGAGCAGCACAGGGTCGGTGGATTCCTTCCGAAGGTCCCATTTCTGCGGTGTCCCCGAGGGGCGGCCCTGGCGCCGCACTGCTGACGGGATCGTTCGTTGTTCGCTCGCTCACCTGGCGAGCTCCGCCGCGGCTCTCAGGGGTGGTTCTGGGAACGGGGAGCACAGGCCGGCGAGACCAGGCCTCTGTCCTCACTGAGGGAGAGAGGGCACAGACAGAGGGGGGGTTAAATCTGTTCCGGTCAGGGGAGCGCAGTGATGGGCAGGGCAGTGGGCGGGAGGGCTGGCAGCCTCGGTGGTGCCGCCAGGGCTCTCCAGGGGCCGGGGGCCGGGACAGGCGGGGCGTGGGGACCGCAGGGGCCGCAGTGTGCGCCTTTGCTCAGCGTGCAGGGCGCCTTCCCAGCACCGGGGGCGCGGGTGTCCCCTCCTTTACGTCCCCGCCTCCCCTGCCTCCTCCCTGTCCTGTCCCCCTCCCTCCCGGCGTCCCTCTTCTGCAGCCGCTGCCCTTCTCTTTGTCCCCCGATCACCCCTGAACTGTCTGCCGCCCGGGGTCCCTGCCCTCAACGCCTGGCCCCCCCACCATGGCAGAGGCGGCTGGTTTCCGTCACTGGAGTCTCTGCCCGACCTCCCTGCCACATCACCTTGTGGCGGGATGGCTGTGCCCCAGAGCGGGGCCTGCACTCCCAGGACATTGTCTGGCCCACGGCAGGGACCGAGCAAATGGGGTGAATGAGGACGCCTAAGAATACTGAGGGACGGGGGAGCGAGCGGGCGAGGGAGCGAGGGAGGGGGTGGATGAGAGGCTGAGTGAGTGGGAGACCTGCCGAGCTTCCTCCACTGATGCAGCTACTGGTCCAAGTAACGTGAGGTAAGCGGTGATAAACCCTAAGAAATGTGCCGTCAAGGCCTGTTGAAGAAGCCAGTGGAGGTGCTGGGCAGCCCCTAGCAGGGCCGGTGCGGGCGGCCCCTGCAGAGGAGGCACCGGAGGCTCGGCCATGCGCTCCGGGCCCCGCGGCCTGGCTCCGAGGCCCCGGCGGGGGACCGATCGATGAGCCGACTGCGGCCTCCGGGTTCCCCGGGGCAGGGCGCACCCCTGCCCTGTTACGGGCAGTAGTTCCCACGACCCAGGCCTCCGGGCACAAGGGAGGCTCCGCACTTCAGACTCCCCTGCCTCTGGAGCTGCCCGGCTTCACGGTGGGGGGGGGGGCACCTCCCGCCCGGGGAGGGCTTGCCCTCTGTGTGCAGCGGCCACTGGAACGGCCGTCCGCAGAGGCAGGATCGCCTCGCCGTCCGTCCGCGGTGCATGCTCCGCCCGCCTCCCACGCGCTGCCCTCAGGGGCCTGGGGTGAGCCGCGGTGTGTGTGCAGGTGCTGGGGGCCGCGGAGTGGCCCGCCCTGTCTGCTCGCTGTGGCCGGGGCTCAGTCTCGCTCCGGCAGCGTGGCGCCTGCTCCCCCCACCCCACGCCCACCACCCCAAGCCTGGCACCCGGGTGCTGGAGGGCTCGCTGCTCCGACCGGGGCGCCTTGTCTACCCAGGCAGAGGTTGAAACCGGGCGACAGGGTGTCGGTCTGCCCCCCCTGAAGCCGCGGGTCTGCCTGGCGCACCGCCCCGACGTGGGCTCCCGGGGATCCCCTTCTTCGCACAGCCAGAGTCCTTGCCACCCTTGAGGTCGCTGTGCCCCCGAGGAAACCGTGCCCACACGAAGGTCACGGGTTCCCAGCAAACTGGCCCCGGGCAGGAGCCTCACTTAAGCTGTCGTTCCGATTTTGCGAGAATTCAGCGCTGCCAGCTTTAACGGGGAGTCTTAGCCGCGCCCGACCGCCCCACAGCCCGGCTTGCCAAGAGCCTGCGCAGACGGTCCTGATTTCCAGTCGGAGCCAGAAGCCGAGTCGAGCCTGCCACCTCGGCGGAGCTTTGACAGCCGCTCCGCCGCTTTTTCTTGTTGCTTTCTGTCCTACCACTTGACAACCATCTTCAACTCGACTGGCTCAGTGGTGGTGTTATTTATATAATCCCTGTACGTTCTCTGCTGGTTTGTCTTTTTCTCCTGTTTTGTTACGTGTTGTCGCTTTTTCTTTGAAAGGAATGATTTTAAGCATTTGGAGATTGAGCTGAATTCAAGAATGGTGCAATTAAATGCCTGTGTTCTATTCACTTCCCCAGCTTTTAAAAACCTCATTTGAAAAATGTGAGAACGGAATGATGCATATGAATGAGCGCTGCGGAGTCGCAGGCCGCTTCTCTGGCCCCTCCTTCTGACCACGGCCGTTGGCAAGGGAGAGGCAGCGCCGTTCAGACAGCGTTCATCAGCTTAGGATGTTGAATCACTATCTCCTAGAAAAAATACTCCTCTGGAACTGAGAATTCTTTTCTTTTTTCTTTTTAAGATTTTATCTATTTATTTTTAGAAAGAGGGGAAGGGAAGGAGAAAGAGAGGGACACATCGATGGCCGCCCCTCGTGCGCCCCAAGCCGGGGACCGGGCCCACAGCCCAGCCTGACTGATAATCAAACTGGCGACCTTTCTCTTTGCAGGATGACACCCAACCAACTGAGCCACACTGATCAGGGCTCTTCTTTTAAATTAAAATTACTGGGGTGACGTGGGTTAATAACATTATGTAAGTGTCAGTGCACGATTCTGTGACACACCAGCCGTATGCCGCACTGTGCGCCTGTCACCTGAAGCCGGGTCTGACCCCTTCACCCTCGCTCCTCCCCGACCCCCTCCCCTCCAGCGACCACTGTCCTGTTGTCGGCGCCTATGAGTCTGTTTGCTTGTCTTGTTTGTTGCTTTCAGTTTTGTACCCCACGCAGGAGTGGGATCGCCCGGTGCTTGCCCTCTCCCGCCTGACGTGTCCCGCTCGGCGCGGCAGTCCCAGGGCCCGCCCACGTGCTCGCCGGGGGCAGGGTCCGTCTTTTCTCACGGCTGAGTAGGAGTCCATTGCATGTATGCGCTACATCTTTTTTCCCAGTCGTCCGCCAGAGGACACTTTGGTTGTTTCCGTGTCGGGCACAGTGAATAGCGCGGCAGTGAGCACGGGGAGCCTAGGTATATCTTTACAAATAGGTGTTTTCAAAATTTCAGGTAGGTGCCCAGAAAGAGAGATGACTGGGTCCTAGGGCGTCTCTGCAGAGCGGAGAGCTCGAAACGCAGATCTCAGTTTGACATTGGAACGGCTTTGCTTCTGGTTCCCACGTGGGGGCACCGCTCGGTGGCAGCGTGGCTGCAGCTGCTCCAAACTCTCCTTTGCTCCGGCTCAAGGCCGGCGGGCGAGGGGCCTCCACCTGCCGCAGAATTCGCAGACAGTCCCTTTGCTCTGGTTCTGTTTTCACCCCGCCCATACGCCAGAGCTAGAGTCCAGTCGGCTCTCGTGTCCTCATTCGGGGGAGGGCTGGATGCCTGGCCAAGTCAGGGGCCCTTCCTGGGAAAAGAGGACACAGGTCACAGGCAGCAACACAACCGACACTTCCTGTCCCCACACGGCCAGGACCCGGGGTCCCTGGGGACAAGGGGTAAGCACCCTGCATTTCAGTTTTGTGTGAATTTGCCGTTGGGCCCAGGCAGCAGCCACCCTGAGAACTTCCCTTAGTGCAACCTGTAGAATTTTTTCTTTTGTGGGGCAGACGGTTTTGCTCCAAGCACTTTGAAGAGGGCAGCGCCCTGCGGCGGCCGACCGAGCCGCGGACGGCCCACGGGAGGCTCGGGCACCCTGGTGCCTCCCCGCCAGGGCCTGTGTGGCCCCGCCTGGCCTGCCGCCACCTGGGGGGGCAGGTTCGCGTGCCTGCTTTGTTTCAGACAGTCAGGGACGCCGGGGGGAGGGGCAGGGCTACCTGAGGCTTCGGGAAGCTCATCCTGCTGTTCGGGGCCTGCCGCCCCCAGGGCCACCCGAGTCCCCCCTGCCCGCTCCTTCTGGCAGGTCAGGGTGCACGTCCCCGTTTTCAGAGCCACGCCAGCTGAGACCCACCGCTTCTTGCCCACAGGGAAGGAGAGAGGGCCGGCGTGGGCGCTCAGCATCCGGGCTCATCAAGGGGCAGGAGCCAGCCGCGCCCCCCCCCCACCCCCGCCATTCAGACATTAACCCCTTCTCTTCGCTTGTTCTCCTTTAAACATGTGCTTTTCTCTTTTTATCATCAAAAAGGCTCAGGTTGAAGCTAAGAAGCAGCATGAAGGTGCCGTGCAGCTGCTAGAGGTAAGCAGTCGCGGCCCGTGGGCTCTTTTTCTGGGGCGGCCGAGGCCAGTCCGGGCCGGCTCAGGCCCCGGAGACACACTTGCTCGCGTTCCCGAGCGCCCGGGGGCACGGTCACTGGTGCTGCGCGCGCACCCCCCGTCTCATCAGCTCAAGCAGCCTGTATGACAGGTGCCGTCGCGACTCCCATTGTATATGGGAGGAAGTGAGGCGCAGAGAGGCTAAGCAATTTCCCCCCGGCCACACAGCCAGCCTCAGGGCCGGGGGTCGCAGATGTGTCCTCCTCGCCTCTGCTGGCTCCTCTCAGCTGGGAAGCAGGGAGGATGGGCCTTGCATGGGAAGGGCTTTTCGTTTCCCCGTGGAGGCCCCTCGTGGTGGCAAGATGGCTGCAGCTGCTCCAAACTCTCCTCTACGGAGGCTCCGGGCTACCAGGCAAAAAGCCTGTTCCCCAAGGAGACAGGGTGGGAGGGCCGCTCCTGTGGGCCTCCTGCCCCCACGTGCATTGTGTGGAGTACGTCCGTAGGGGGCAGCAGCGATGCGGAGGGAGCACCTGGCCGCTGGTGTCTGGGAGGCGCCTTCAGCGTTAGAGGGAGGGTGGCCCCAGGTACCAAAGCAGCAGAGGCCCCGGGGCCTGGCCCGGTACTGCACTCAGGGAGCACGGGGAGCCTCAGATCGGGGGCTTGGCAGGGGTGGGGCCCCAAGCCCTCCGGCGCAGGTGTGGGTGCTGTGCCCGTAGCGACTGTCCTCTCCCCCCAGTCCTGGCCCAACGCCAGCCCCCAGAGCAGGCGGACGGTGGCCTGGACGGAGCTCCTGGGGTCGCCCTGGAGGCCTTTGCCAGCTGCACCCTCCAGGCATCACGCCTGGTCATGACGGGCCAGGCCCCCTGCCTGCGGAGAGAGCTGCGGGCGGGCTGCTCTCCCGGCTCCCCGACCCAGAAAGGCTGACAGGGCCCCTCCGGCCACCGCCTCCAGACGCGGGTGCAGCCGCCCTCTAGTGGGTGACCTGGTACAGCCCCCAGGGGAAGAGTGGCCTCTTAAGACCGAACCCGGCATCTCTCAGTTGCCCCCTAGCGCCTGTCTCTCCCGCAGGAACGGGTTCCATCATTATCATCGTATGTATTAAAATTGATTTTTTGAAAGCATCCATTAGCTAATGAATATCCGAGGGTGAGTGTGACGAATGGCAGGCGGGGAGATAGGGGACCGCAGGCCCCTCGGCCCCTCCCTGGCCTGGGCTGCCCACGACTCTTTAATTTGCATCGGCTTCTGGCTGCAAGCATAGCTTCTTGTTTCCAGGAGGCCGCAGCCCAGTGAGGTGATGCTCTGGGTGGGTCTGACCGCCTGCTGAGCTGCTGCTGTCACGGCCGCCCTGGGGCCGCATCCCCCGGGGCTGAGGGCACTGCTTGCCTGCCTGACAGGGGGTGACGGCTGTACTGCGCTTTGGTTTGGAAAATGGACAAGCAATGCGATGTGCTGAGAATTGTGCCTTCTTTTATTCACATGTCTTTCTGTGATTGCGTCTTGTTGCTTCGCCTAGAACACCTTGAAGAGCATGCAGGTACTTCAGGGAAGTGTGTCCCCGCCCCTGTGTGCTTGGTGCCACGTCCCCGTGCATGGAGCAGCTCCCTGGGCCCGCTCAACCCCTCTTCTCCCCAGACCGCAGCTCCCCGAAGCAGCAGAGGGTGGTGGGCTCCCGGGGTGAGGTGGGGGAAAGCTGCCTTCAAAGCCTCCTGAGGGTCAGACTTTTGTCTGGGCCCCGAGACACTCGGCCTGGGCTCTGGCGTGTTGAGCAGGCCCAGAGAGCCTGGTTTCCTGTTTTCTGGCAAGGCTGTGACTTTCAGGCTGGGGGACAGCTCCCTGAATTCAGATGACCCCAGGGAGGCGTCATTGTGAGGGCGGGCCGACCGCATGAGGGAGAGCCGGCTGCGAGCCCAGAGCCGGGCCGGTGGGCCGTCAGAATTCAGGCCTGGGCCGAGCGTCGCACCTGTGCGCCTGTGCCTGTCGCAGGGTCTGTGTGTCTGTGCAGCGACAGGCGGCGAGGGGCTCAGCTCTGTGCCTCACACCTCAGCACAGACCCGAGAGCCGCCTCTGCCACGGGCCGCTGGCCCGGGCTGGCGGCGTGGCCGACTTCAGGCAGAGGCCGGGAAGCGGAGGCGGGGGCGGCAGTGTCTCTGCCATATCTGAACTGCGGGGCCTGTGTGAGCCGCGGCAGGCGTGGTGTTCAGGTGTGACAGGACGTTGGCCACCGGGAGTATCTGAGCCGCGAACAGATAAAGACTTATGCTTTATCGATGTTTTGCACCCTGGATCCCTTGGGAGTTCGCTTTCTCCCAGGAACTAGATGGTGGTCTCTGCCCCCGCCCTGGAGCAGCCTTCTCAGCCGGAACCCCGGCGGCGTCCCTGCTGGGGGCGGGGCGGGGGCGGCGATGCTGTGCCTGCTCCTGCACCGGGGAGTCCGCCGACCCGGGCGAGCCCGGCTCCCCCTTGTGTCCCCCAAGGCCGCCTTTTCTGCCTCGTGGCGCCCCAAGGGCCGCACGGGGCTGCTGGGGGCCCATGCAGACACCTTGTGAAAAACACACCCTGTGCAGAAACACGAAAACTCGAATGATGCAGACCCACCCGCGTGGAAGTCACGGGGCTTCACCTGGGCCGCTTAACGGACGCACGAGCCATCACGACCGAGGCAGATCTGTGTCCCCGCAGTGCTGGGCCCCTGCCGGGCGCAGAGGGCAAGGCGTTGGCGCCGCAGACCCCCTCCCTCCCAGGTTCTGCCCCTGGGGCCTCTGGGGCCTTTCGGGGTCAAGAGCGCCTCGTCCTGTGAAGGCCCCGGGGCTCAGAGCCTGTTCAGTTGACTCTGGGGGGGGTTTCCATGTATGTCATCATCGCGGGCAAGAGCCAGGGCAGAGATGGGTATTTAGGAGGCCGTGAAAGGTGCTCCTTAGTTGGGGGTCACCCTAAAAAAATGTGAGGGGCCTCCGTGTCTCTGGCTGACGATACAGGCAGGGAGCTCTGCTGTGCTCGCGGGGGCTCAGGCTGCGGTGACACCGTGCTGGGGGCAGATGCTCAGCCGGCTGAGAGGGCGGCAGCGCTGTGGCGCCCGGGGCCTGCGCCCACAGCTGCCCTGGGCTCTGGGGCACGCTGCCCTCCTCTGCAGGCCCATGGAGGGCCCACGGAGGTCATCTGACTTGTGTCCAGACCCCCTGATGGGGTGAGGGGCTGGCCCAGCTCCGAGCCTGCAGCCAGAGACCTGGGTCTGACCTGCCACTCGCAGGGTCTGTGGCCTTGGCCCTTGGCCCCCCGGCCCCGCCTCCCTTGCTCTCTGGGGGGCGCGTGCCAGCTTAGCCGTGCGCCTCTCCGCGCGTCAGCAGCAGCGCACGGGGAGCCCTGGCGAGGCCTGGCGCCCGGTGGGGGCGCAGTGAATGGTGGGGGGCACAGCAACGCCGGTTCACGCGGAGAGACAGGCTGCCCCTGGGGCCCTGCTTGCCCAGCGCTCCAGGCTCGGGCTCTGGGGCGACTTTTGCAGCGCCCCGGCCCCTCAGGCCGTCCTGGTGCGGATGCCCTTCACCGGGCCGGAGTCAGAGGAGCAGCGCCAGGTGGAGGGACTGGGGGCGCTCCCCTCGTTTCTGTGGATGCCCACATCCGCGCGGCCAGTCTCTGTGGTTTGCGCCAGCCGCCAGCTGAAGCTCACTGGCCTGACGGCCGCACCGTCTACTCCTGGGCATAGAGCTTCCAAGCAGCCGCCCTCTGCTGGACACTCAGGTCGCCGGTGGGGGCTGGGTGGGTGGGGCCAAGAGAGTGCAGAGACCTGCGGGCTTGGGCTGGCTCCTCGGGGCCTGGCCCCGCCTACCCTCCTGCCCACCGCGGCCCAGCCCTGAACCCTGAAACAACGCTAGCGTTCAAACAAGCCGCCATGGGGTGCAGCAGTGGGCTCTCTGCAGCATTTAGAAGCAGTTTCTTTGTGACTTGGGGCCGCTGAAGACATTCAGCCCCACCACCTGCAGCCGGGCCAGGAGACCGTGGGCCTGGAGGCTCCTGTGGGCAATCTGCCTCTTCTGTTGGAGCCTGAGAAGTTTCCAGGGGGAACACCCACCTGTAAGACATGCTTCGGGGCCCAGTGGGTCCCTTGTTCTCATCTCCTTGTTCTCGTCCCTCAGTCCCCAAGGGACCGAGGTGCTGGAAGCCTAATGATGGTGGGGGGCGAGGTGTGCCCGCGCGTCCCTCAGTCCGAGGGCCTGTCATTGCTGTCCTGCTGTCCCCTGTCCTGCAAGCACACCTATGTTAAGCCAGACATGTGTGGATGCCAGCTTGAGACCCAGTTCTGTTCCAAGCGCTGGGAACAGGGCAGGAAAGAAGCCGGCAAAAATGTCTGCCCTTGTCAGAGACACCAGGCAAGATCAGTAATGCAGCAGCCGACCTCCCTCAATCACGGGCGTGAGGAACATCGACAAGGCGGGACTTCCCCGCGGACAGACAAGGGTGCGATGCCTGCAAAGGAGAGTCCCCCTCCTTGCTGACCCAGCGGAAATCTAGGAGCACCCCCTCTGGGCTGACTCCGAAGCATGGGGGTGCATCCGGGAGCCAGAGAGCAGAGGCTTGGCGCCCGCCGTCTGGCCGCGGGGAAGGCGGCATGCCGTCAGCGAGCCAGTGGACGTGGGGCGAGGAGGGAGAGCAGAGTCCCCGTGTGCCCCCTTGGGGGCGCCCACCCTGCACAAGCAAGCCTCGTTCCTGCACCCGCACCAGGGCAGCATCCGGAGGGGGACGCGGGACGCGGGGGCGGGATGCAGCCGGAGCAGGAGCTGGGGCAGGAACTCGAGGAGACCGGAGGGAGCGGCCGGCCGGGCAGGCGACGTGTTGCTGACCTGTGTCCCTGAGGGAGACACCCATTCCCCGCCCTGGGCGCTCCTGATGTGTCTCCAGGTGCCTGCAAACCGAGCCGCGGTGCCCGAGAAACCCTCCCAACGGCGCTTCCCTCCTGCCTTCTCGGGCGCTGCAGGGGCAGGCGCCCCCAGGAGGAAGGTGGGCTGGGGCGAGTGCCTGCGCTCTCCTAAGTCTGGGCTGTGCCCCTGCCTCTCGCTGCAAATCTCGGCCACGAAGTGCCCGGGCTCCATGCAGAGCCCGGAACAATCCGCGTTGGGCTGGGACCTGAGTGTTTGCAGGATTTCTTGGCACCTGTGGTTCCCACATTCGCCCTGGAAGGGCGCGTGGCCAGCGGCCAGACTGAGTGGGAAGCTTGGCTTTATCAGATGCCGTTCCTGAGGGAGGCGGGAGGCAGCCGTCGCCACACACGGGCATATACCACACACATGCACACGTACGCACTCACACTCAGGCGCGCGCGCACAGACGTCCAGCGCCCTCCGGCGCCCAAGCTGCCCCGCCCTGCTGACCCCTGCGTCTCCCGCAGTGCAAGGTGCGGGAGCTGGAGGACAGGTGCCGGGCACAGAGCGAGCAGTTCAGCCAGCTGTCGCGGGGCCTGGAGGAGTTCCGGCGGCACGCGGGCAAGATTGACCTGCTGGGTGGCAGCTCCGTGGCCTCCTTGGACGTCCCCTTGTCCCCCAGCAAGCCTTTCCCACAGTTCATGAACGGACTGGCCCCCTCCATTGGGTCAGGTGAGTGCCCGGTGCCCCACCCACCTGGGCCAAGGTGGGGAGGGTGGCCAGCGCCCCCCGCCGAGGGCCACGCCTGGCCGGGTCTGGGGGGCAAGTGTGCCAGGACACTTGGCGCCTAATGGGTGTCAGCAAATGTGACCCTGGCAGTGTCCACGCTCGGTGCTGTTCTGAGCCCCGTGGGGGGTCCACGCAACTGGGGAGCCCAGAGCGGGGCCTGAACCAGGAGGCGGGGGCAGGGACCACGCCGTCACTCCCTCCTGCACAGAGTTACCCTGGGACACCTCGCTGGCCCGGACAAGTGACGCTCAGGGACGGTCCTCCTGAGTCGCCCAGATGGGAGGGCCACGCCCTCAGTCTCGGCTGGCTGCGGGGGCCCCGGGGCTTTCAGTCAGCACCGCCCTGCACGTGCCGTGCGCCCAGCACGGCTGTGGGCGCTGGGCACGTGGCAGGGAACGGGGCCCAGCCCGGGCTCCTGGACCTGTCGGCCTCACAGGGCACCCGCGTCGTGTCGGCAGCGGCCGTCAGTCACAGAGAGGCGTCCTGGCTGCTCTCTGAATCCGCTGCCCCGAGGGTCCGTGGCGGGCGGCTGCCGTGGCAGCCCGTGCGGAGCCCCGCGCGTCGCTCCGAACCACTCGGTGACCGCTGACTCGGACTCAGCAAGTCGTTCCCCCAGCGAGACAGTCCCGTGACATGGCAGCCCCCGAGAGCACCGGGGGGGGGGGGGTGGCCGAGGACCCGGCTGCCCCAAGACAGCCCGGCCACAGGGGTGCGCCCGCGTGGCAGGACGGGGGTCCTGCCGCCCTCTGGGTCCCACGAGGACGGGTGCGGGCGGAGAGCTGCTTTGGCCCTTGTCTCTGGTCAAAAGTAGTTTCAGCCACAGACCCAGCCCTTTGGCCCCTTTCGGCTCGCTAGGACCCTTTGGGTCCTAGGTGACCGAGCAGCCCGCCCAGGCTGCTGTGAGCCACGGGCGCTTGTCACCGAGCCTGGGTGCCGCGGGGTCCGCTCAGGGCCCTGCCTCCACGAGCAACTGCCGTCCTCGGATAAGCGCCACCCCCCGCCCCTGCTCTGGTGCTGGGAGGGCTGCGGCTCGCGGAGCCGTGCGTTCTCTCTGCTTTAGGCCGGGGAACGGGGAGCGCTTTGCCCGTGACACCCACGACGTTCTGCCTGACGGGAGGGACTGTCTCACCTCGCCTGCGCAGCCCCATCACCGCCAAACCACGGCTGTGCGGGGGCCCTGCCCGGCAGAGGGCCCACGTGGGGTGCGGGCAGGCGGCACTGACAGTGGGAGATGGCTGGGTCCCCAAGTGCAAACCCTAAGCTCGTGCCAAAGATGGGGTGGGGGGCCAATGGCCAAGCGCTGTGTCATCTCGTCTCTACGTCCCATTGTCTCCACGGTCGGGGGCAGGTCAGGAGAGTGCCTTCAGAAGCCGCACTGCGATCGGGGACTACATCCGGCCCCTCCCACTCGCCGGGGACAAGCCGGAGCCTCTGTCCATCAAGCCCACCTTTCTGTCAAGATCTGGGAGCCCAAGATGCAGATTTGAGTCAGACGTGAGTCCTGTCCTGGGAGAGGGCCCACATGGCTCCGCCCCGGGCCAGAGGCAGCGGTGTTTCCTGGGAACCCACCATCTGGGGCTGCAGAGCCCCATGGGCCTGGGGAAGGGACGTCCCATGTGTCTTCCCTACGAATATGAGATGACGGCTCTGTAACCGAATGTCACCTGTGTCTTTGGCAGATGGACAATGAACGGAATGCCAACCCCTCCAAGCAGAGATATTTGGGGAAGGTGCACCTGTGTGTCGCCCGCTACAGGTGAGGCTGCACCCCGTGGCTCCGGGAGCCTCTGTGAGCGCGGGCTCCGGGGCCAGATGAAGCGATGGGCGTGGGACGCACCATGAGCTGCCGCCGTCCCTTCTCAGGCCCCGAGTGCAGGCTCAGCAAGGCCTCTCTGGACGTGGACATGAGGGACCGAGAGGCTTGGTGGGGTCACACCTGCAGAGGATGGGGATCTGGAGGGCGGAGCCCTGGCCCCAGCCCACCACGTGGTGAGCTCGCAACTTCAGACAAGTCCGCTCTTCTCCCTGGGCTATTAATGTTGGGAGTAGGACTGTCTGCTCAGCGTTGCTCGCTCAGATTTAGTGGCAATCAAATAAAACACGCGGCCTTCACAGTCACATGATTGCGCAGATCATCCCGTCATATCATTCAACAGGGCGACTGGCTGTCACCGCCAACTGTGAGGAATGTCATTTGTATCGTCTTACTGAGGCCCTTTCTGATGTTTCAAATTAATTAACCTTTTAATTAGAAAACCCAAGATTTATGTGACATGTTTTATTTGCAAGTTGAACGTGACTTTAAAAGATGATAATTCCAATATTCTGAGGACTTGAGGATGCGGGCACTTGTACTCTCCTCACGGGGAGGGGAAGGGGAAACGGCGCATCCACTGGTGAGCCCACTTCAGAGGGGCATCCTCAAGACTTCAAAAATGTGCGTGACTTTGACCAAATGAATGTACTTCCAAGGTCTATCTGTAGGAAGAAAGTGTGCAAAGAGATTTATAAGGACATTGATGTAATACTGATTATATTAGCCCGAAGTTAGAAGCAACATCAATGTCCAACACAGGAAGTCAAAGCATGTTCATCTATCCAGTGGGATATTATACACCCGTTAAAAAGGTTATGGGGCGGGGGCAGGAAATAGACTACAAAATAGTGTATGGAACGTGATTATGCCTTTGCAAAATAGTCTCTATGGAAAGATTACAGAGCTAACCGTCTTCTTTGCTTACGGATTTGGAAATCTACAGCTATGGTAGAAGGGACAGGGGTGAGCAGAAATACCAGAATTCTAAGTATGCTGCTCAATGCACGGCTTGGGTTGAGAACTGTCTCTTTGCTTTAAATCTGTGAGGGGAGCTGGCGATGGCTGAGCTTCCGTGCACGGAGAACGGACGCGTCGGTGCCGCGGGCCGGGGGGATGGCGGGCACCGGCCCGGGACCGGCCGGGGCTGTGCTCAGCCTCTGTCGGCGTGTCCCTGAGCGAGGTTTGTTTCTCCGGCAGCTACAATCCCTTTGACGGCCCAAATGAGAACCCAGAGGCCGAGCTGCCGCTCACGGCGGGGAAGTACCTCTATGTCTACGGGGACATGGACGAGGACGGCTTCTATGAAGGTCTGTTGGAGCCTGGCGGTCGGTCGGTGCAGGGGGCCAGTCCCCCCACTGGGCGGGTCTGTCCAGGGCCTGATAGACGGGCTGGGCCCCCGATGACCCTGCCGCCCCGGGTGCTGCTCTCTCCCTCCCACTCTCCACGGCACCAGGTGCCCCCAGGGGATGGGGTTTCCCAGCCGTAGGGTGGGGAGAGTAAGAGCCGCCCCCGGGGAGGCTGAGGGGACGGTGAGGCGAGGGCATCGGCAGAGCGGGGCCTGTGCAGGGGCTCCCAGCTCCAGAACGCCCTCCAGGCACAACGGACCAAGCTGGGCCCCCCCACCCCCGCCGAGGGTCCTGAGCAGAGGCCGCGTGCTCGCTCACCCTGGGGGAATCCCGCGCTGTTCCACGGTCGGTCGCTAGAGCTTCTCATAAGCCCATCCCATGTCCCCCGGGCGGGACGGCCACACTGAGCGCCTCCCAGCCCCCGGGGGCTCTCAGCAGCCCGCCCAGCAAGCCCTCTCCGCAGACTCTGACGTGGGGGAAAGGGTCCCTTCCCAGGGGAGCCAGAAGGTTCAAAGTACTTCTCAGTTCCTGAGCCTCCGCTCCGGCAGGCACTGGGGGCTCCCGGGAAGAGAACGCAGAAGTGAGGCCATTGCACAAAAAGAAAGAGGCCCCCTGCGACCGCCTGTGGCCACCAGTCTTCCTGGGGGGGGGGGGCTTAGCCTGGTGACTGTGGTTGTCCGGGCACGAAATGGACACCCCGGGAACCTCACAGAGCGGCACGCAGCGCTCTGCACGGAAGGCCGCCCCCAGTTCCTGTCCGCGGGGCCGCCGCCCCAAAGCCAGGAGCCCGTTGTTCATGGTTCAGCCTCCAAACCACACAGTTTCCACGTTCCTTCTAGCACACACTGACGGAGTCCCCCGAGTCCCTCTGGGCCTGCTCGGGGCGGTGAGCGGCCGAGGCCCCAGCCGGAGCAGGGAGTGCGTGCGCAGACGCGGGCGGAGGGGCTGGAGGCCTCAGGCGCTGGGGAGAAACCAGAAAGAGTGCGCGGCGCCGGGCGGGGGCCGCCGTGGGCGTCGGGAGTGGGGCCTGGGTCCCCAGGGGCAACGCCCGCGTGGGTCCCTGCCAGCGCCCCCGTGCTGGGCGGCGGGTAACTCTGCCCCACACCCAGCAGGTGAGCTCCTGGACGGGCAGAGGGGTCTGGTGCCCTCCAACTTCGTGGACTTTGTCCAGGACAGCGAGTCCCGCCTAAGTACGCCGGGCACCGAACTGGGTCAGAATTTCATCAACCACTCTGGCCTCGGCCTGGACGGGGAGACCATTCTTGACCTGCACTCCCCGACTCACCTGGACGCGGGCATCACCGACAACGGCGTGGGGACGCTGGACATGAACATCGATGACGTCGGAGAAGACATCGTGCCTTACCCTAGGAAAATCACCCTCATCAAACAACTCGCCAGAAGTGTCATTGTGGGCTGGGAGCCCCCGGCCGTGCCACCGGGGTGGGGCGCCGTGGGCGGCTACACCGTGCTGGCAGACCAGGAGCCGCGCCTGCGCCTCCCGCCCACGGGCAGAACTAAGGCCCTGATCGAGAAGCTGGACGTGGCGGCCCGCACCCACCGTGTGTCCGTGCAGTGCCTGACGAGCAGGGGCAGCTCAGACCCACTGCGGTGCACGCTGCTCGTGGGCAAGGACGTGGCGGTGGCCCCCTCCCAGCTGCGGGTGGATGGCATCACCCAGGTGTCCGCCCGGCTCTCCTGGCTGCCCACCAACAGCAACTACAGCCACGCCATCTTCCTCAATGAGGAGGAGCTGGACGTGGTCCAGGCAGCCAGGTACCAGTACCAGTTCCTCAGCCTCAGGCCCAACACGGCCTACAAGGTCAAGGTCCTGGCCAGGCCCCACCAGGTGCCGTGGCAGCTTCCCCTGGAGCAGAGAGAGAAGAAGGAGGCCTTCGTGGAGTTCTCCACGCTGCCCGCAGGTGGGTCTGTCCTCCCAGGGTCCCTCGGGGATGTGAACAGTGCTGTCACCTGTGCAGAACTTGGGGGCAGGGGCAGAAGGGGGGGAGGAGGAAGCTGCAGGTGGCCAGCATCATCCTGGGAAATCCCCCACCTGCCCTGTGGAGCACTAGGCGTGTGCGCGCGTGAGCTAGAGAGCGAGCGTGGGTTGTGTTGAGGGCGGTGTCTTCAGAAGGGTTCCCCCTCACACTTTTGTGACCAGGGGGCTCATTCTGGCAGAGCGAGACCTTCCCCGGACGGAGCCGCCCTGCCGCCCCACCCCTCCCAGCCCAAGGTCAAGGTGGTAGACTCCGTGTCGGGGGAGGGCCCTTCCTGGCCCATAAGACAGAGCGTCTGTGCAGAGCTGATGCCCAGGTTCAAGAGCTGCCATCGAAATCCCGTCTTCCTCCACTCTCACGAGGCCACGGCCTGGGCGACACGCAGGCCAGGCTTACGTCGTCCTGAGAGAGAGAGAGGTGGAGGGAGAAGGGGACACGGCAGGAGAAGGGGTGTGTGTCCTCTGCCCAGTGCCGGGACCCCCAGCTGCCCTCAAGCTGCCTGGGTCACAGGCGGCTGGGGAGGGCCAGGCCGCTCTGCCCACCAGAGACCAAGGACGGGCCGTGGCTGTGGGGCGCAGCCCGCGGTGCGCCCTCTCCGCCCCGACGCACCTGTCTCTCCTCCGTGCCCGGGGACTGCGTGTCTCTAGTTTAGTTCACTTTTATTAAGGTGAAGCTGACATGCAAGAGCATGTAAGTTCCAGGTGTACAACAGTGTGGTTCCACAGTGACACATCTCACCAAGTGATCGTGGTGACACGTCAGTGACTGTCACCATGCAGAATGTCCCTAGGAGTTTGCACCTCTTACGAGTGACCTTCTTTCCAGGGAGACCAGCCCATCATGGGAGCAACTTGCCTGCCAGGGGCCATGCCATGAGAGTTCCTTTGCCTTCTGTCCCCAGGTCCTCCGGCTCCCCCACAAGATGTCACCGTCCAAGCTGGGGCCACCCCAGCCACCGTGCACGTCGCCTGGAAGCCGCCGGCCCTGACTGCCACCGGGCTGTCCAACGGGGCCAACGTTACGGGCTATGGCGTGTATGCGAAAGGGCAGAGGGTGAGTCGTCCGGGTGGGAGGCCCACGGGGCGGCTGACGCTGCTCCCTGGAGCGTCCTCCCTCCCTGCTCAGCCCCCCGGCACTCGCTCAGGGACGCAAGGCGGGGGGTGGCGCTGGCGGGGCCGGCACGTGTGAGCGGGCTTTCTCTGCGGCAGGTGGCCGAGGTCATCGCCCCCGCGGCGGACAGCACGGCTGTGGAGCTGGTGCGGCTGCGGAGCCTGGAAGCCAAGGGCGTGACCGTGCGGACCCTCTCTGCCCAGGGCGAGTCTGTGGACTCCGCCCTCGCTGCCATCCCCCCTGACCTTCTGGTGCCTCCAGCCCCCCCAAGAACTGCTCCCTCACCGAAGCCATTAGCAAGTGCCGCAGTCCCCGATACCAAAGATGACCGCCCGGGACCCCCTGTCCACGTGGACGAGGCCTGGGAGCAGGGCCGGGCGCCTTCCCACGGGCACATGCTGGAACCCCCCAGCCCGCAGGGGCGGCGGTCCCCCTCGCCCAGCCGCGTCCTCCCGCAGCCTCAGGGGGCCCCTGTGTCCACCTCCGTCGCCAAGGCCATGGCCCGGGAAGCTGCGCAGAGAATGGCCGAGAGCAGCAGGGTAAGGCTGGCTCCCGCCCCGCCCCCGCCCCGCCCCCGCCCCCGCCCGGCCCGCCCCCACCCGGGGTGGAGCGTGGGGACCCTCCGACTCTCCCCTCAGGCTGCTGCTCGGGCGAGATCCTGGGGGCCTCGAAGCGTGTTTTCGCTTTGCGGACATGGGCCCCGACAACCAAAGGTGGGGGCGTCAGCCCGCCAGCGTCCAGGGCGGCCGAGCCCAGCCCCTCTCCAGCTGCGGTGTGTCCCCGGCGTTGGTTTGGGGACCCCTGGTCCGAGCCAGGGCGCCTCCTGGCCCTGCTCACATATGCGTTCTCACTGCGCCTGCGTGCGCACGAGACCTGCACGCAGGCAGACGTGTTGGCGTATGTGCGCAGGTGATAAGACACACGGAAGTGCGTTTGCCTGGCTGAGATGAGGGGTGGCCTGGGCCGTGGGGACCCGGGAGGGAGGCCGCCCTCCCGCGTGGGGCCTGAGGCTGAGCCCCACACGGGCCCTCCCGCGCGGGTCTGCCCGCCTGCTCCCTGGGGCCTGCCGGGTGGTCAGCCCCCGGCACAGGCAGCGGGCCCCCCGGTGCCCAGCCTGCGGGTCTGCTCTCTCCAGGACGGCGTCCCCTGGCAGCACCTCCTCTGAACCCCTGAGAGCCCCAGGGGCTGGAGGCAGGCCAGGGAGCCCCCAGAAGTCAGGCTGAGGGGCAGGTCCTGCCCAGGCCCCGGGCAGGCGGGCGGGAAGGGGAGCCGCTGGGGCAGCCAGTCAGCCTCTTGAACTGCTGCGGGCCGGGCCTTCAGGCGGGGCCTCTGCTTGTCTGGTGTTGGCTGCCGTCACTGAAAAATCAGTGGAAGTCTGGTCGGCGGCCTCTGCCTGGGGAAAACTTCAGAACACATGTTTGCCATGGGCCACACCCTGCTCTGCCAGCTCGCAGGGCAGAAGCCCAGCCGACCACGGTGCTCAGAGCTTTGGCGATACTCTGTGAGCAGGAGGGCCTGGCAGGTGGCACTGCCCCTCCCTACTGGATGGTATCCAAGCACCCCACGGCCCGGAGACGCCACCCAGGACCCCGAGGGTGGCCAGAGGCAGAGCTGGGCCTCGGGACACCTGGGGCCGCTGGCTCCAGGCAGCCCGCCCTTTCAGCAGGTGTGGAGAGAGCACACACCTGAGAGTCATTGTTTAAGAAAACGCTAAGTGATCATGTCAAGAGCCAGGCTTGTCACTGGTATCCACAGGTTACTTCCGGCAAAGGCCGGGCTAGTTCTCGCAAGTGTGGGTGGGAGGGGGAGGGGAGCCAGCGTGGGTCACAGCCCAGGAGGCCTCAGGAACCCTCCCAGGATCCAGTGCGGTTTCTCACCCAGGGCCCTTCAGGCCGAGGCTCTGCCAGGGGGCTGTGGGGCGGGGGAAGGGAAGGATCCCACGCAGAAGGCCTGGGAGCCTGGGCACCCCCTTCTCTCGGTAGCCCTGGGGTCAGGCAGCCTCTCTGCCAGCGCCTCGCTCACCTGCGTCTTTTCTCTCCTTCCAAGTTAGAGAAAAGGAGCGTCTTCCCAGAGAGGAGTGGCCAGTACGCCGACTCCGACGAGGAGGGCGGCTACGAGTCCCCAGGTGTCAGGAGGAGGGGCACGTCGGTGGACGACTTTCTGAAAGGTTCCGAGCTCGGCAAGCCGGTGAGTGCCGGGCACGCCGCCAGCAGGCAGCTCCCGGCATCGCCGTCCCGCACGGGCCTCTGGAGGTCAGGACCGCCCCCTGAGGGCCCCTGAGGAGGACCGGGCGGTGCCAGGCCACGTGACAACCAGCTTAGTGGATCGGGAAAGTTAGATTTAGCGATGCCCGTGCATTGGGACCTCATTTGGGGAGGGTTTCAAAGGCCCGGATGTGAGGCCCCCACGCTGACCACCTGGTGCTGGCCCCGGCCCCTGGACGGTCTTGTGGGCCGGACAACCAGTGGGCTCAGTTTAGGCAAAGCCTGCCGTCTCTCGATTCTGAGTTGGGTGAATGTTTGTGGGGCCTCATGGGAGAGCCAGACACAAAACCGTTGGCGCCCAGTGCTGTGAGTGGCGCAACGTCCAGACGAGGCTCACACGCAACAAACCTGGCCAGTGCGGGTTCGTCTCCAGGTCTGACCAGGCTTCTCCCAATGGGGGTGTCCCTGCGTGGTGCCAAAGGCTGCCAACAGGTTTGGCGGGACAACAGGAGGGTGGGGCCTTGGAGTCCTGAAATCGTGGGGCACCAGAGCATGAAGGCACCCAGCACCCTCAACACACGCTTGCGCCTGCCACAGGGCAGCGCCAGGACCTCGGCAGGCAAGCGGGGGTCACACCGTGGCGTTGCCATTGCCACTGAAGCTGCAGGCAGGTTGCCCAGCTTCTCCAAGCGTCAGTTCCTTTATCTGTAAGATTAAAATCCCATGGGCATTAACTTTCACACAAGAAACAGAATGCCCGACTGACGACGACTAATATAACAAAGACATTGAATTAGCCCACATCGCAGGGGGTCTCAGGGAGGAGGTTGCAAGGTCAGTCCAGCCGCTCAACTGCGTCCAGGCTCTGGGTTCTGAATCTTCCATCCTGTTGGCCTTTCTCTTGGTTACAAAGTGGCTGCCATAACTCCAATAATCATGCCCTCATAGGGATAGCATCCCAAGGCGGAAGGAAGAGACGTGTGAAAGAGGAGGGGCTTTCTCCTTGGCACTTTCCTCTTAACTGGGAGGAAAGTATTTTCCAGAACCTCTGTCAGACTTCTCACTGGGCAGCCAGGGTCACGGGCCTGCCCGCAAGTCACAGGGTTCCTACGGGGGGGCTTGCGGAGGCCACACCTGGCAAGCAACAGAAAACTCGCTCCGTCCCCTGGTTACTGCCAGCTCGGCATTGGGCTTGGATCGCGTGAGACTGTTCGCACGCAGCGAGTGCTTCCCCAGGGCCTTCCAAGACCTCGTTAAAAACAAGCCTGGTCTTTGTCCACTTAAAACCCACTCACTTTTGTGTTGTCTACTTGGGGCCTCATTGGGAGAATCAGGGCCTGAACAGCTCAGAAGCTGAAGCAGCAAACCGCTCCAGCTGAGCACTTTCCAAGCCACCTCTCTCAGGCACGAGGCAGGCAGGACCTTCCGGAACATTCCGTCAGTAGCCTTCCCACTGCCTCTTGCCCCGCCAGGCCATTTTTATCTAGGGCAGTAATGGAAAGTGGGCTGTTCTCCATCAGCGTGTCTCAGGTGCCACTAAACACATCTGTCTGGTCGCCCGCCAGGAAACGGGGGCCTGTCCTCAGTCACCACCACCAAGCAAAACCAGAATGTCACTGTGGGTGTTCGGTGCTCACAGATCTGCGCGTGCCGGGCGTGCATTTTAGCTGTTGCAGTTTTGCTCACCTTCTTTAAGTTCTTGGGTTGTGAGTGAGGGCGTGAGACCACGGCTACCACCGCCACCGGGACACCCTGTCAGGCGCTGGCATCGGAGGCCTCATGTCGCCAAAGACTCTTCACAGGGGGCTTTTCTGTGACCGACCCCTCTGATCCTGTCCCCAGCCTCTTCTCCATGGCACGGCCCCAGCTGGTGCCCCCGACACGCTGGGCACGGGGGGAGCGCAGCCGCACAGGGCTGCTTGCCGGGCTTGCCCCGCATGTGCACGCGCGTGTGTGCGCTGTGTGCTTCCAACCCCACGGCATTATTTAAAGCCTTAAACTCCTGGAGAGGTGCACAGACACCACGCCCCTCCCCTGGCTGGGCCCCAGCCCTCGGCCTCTGGGGGGGCGCCCTCGGGCTCGCACCTTTGCCCAGCCACCCCGGTGGAGATGCTGGTGCCACTGGGAGAGCAACATTTTCCAGCCGCGGTGGCGTCCTGCCGGGAGGCCTGGCCCTCCCTCGGCCCAGCCAGCGGGCGGGGACGGGGTGCCGAGGTCTGTCTCGGCACACAGACTCCCGACATGCCTGTGAGCCCTTGAGCCAGCAGAGAAGGGCAGCACCAGGGACAGCCCCGCGGGGTCACTGGCGTGGAGATGGTGCTCACTGGGACCCCTTCCCGCCCCCAGCCTCACTGTTGCCACGGAGACGAGTACCACACGGAGAGCAGCCGGGGCTCGGACCTCTCGGACATCATGGAGGAGGACGAGGAGGAGCTGAGCTCGGAGATGCAGCTGGAGGGTGGGGGCCGGCGGCGGCCCAGCGGCACGTCGCCCAGCGCCCTCAAGGTCAGTGGCCAGGCGCCGGCTCCCTCTCCTGTCCGTTGCTGGGGCTGCGGGGCCGGCTCTCGAGGGGCCTCGGCCTGCTGCCGGAAGCCCATGGATTTGGACGGGCTTCTTTCTCACCATTGAATTTGCATCCACAAACTCCCTGTCCTCGTTTTTGCTCTGTCCTCTTGGCTGAAAAGCCTGGGTGAAGAGGTTTGGGGGAACCCATTCGGCACCCTCCTGGGGGCACCCAGCCCCGCCCCGGGAATCCAATGGGAAGAAACCAAACAAGGACACCCCCATGCTCCACGCCTAGAAAAGCAGCCACCGGGGGAGTAGGGTCGGCCTGCGTCGGGGCTGGGGATCAGGGCCCGAAACCAGTGCCTGAGCTGGGCCCTGCGGAGGCGGGAAGAACGGCTTCCTGGGGGCAGTGGTATGGGACCCCTCCCCTGCCGGGGGCGGGGCATCCTCAGCAGCCCTCCTGGGTGTGGCTGCCAGCAGAGGGTCTGAGGGGCGGCCATGTTCATGGACTGGGAGCCCAGTCATAGGCTGGCCCTCGTGTGTGTCCCCATCCTTGTCTGGGTCGCTGTCCACCTCTCCGCGGGCTGCACTGGCCCAGGAGTTTATTCGCTGCTCAGGGCCATGTGGGCCCGTCACCCCTGTGCACCCCAGCCCCAGGCTGGGGGTGCAAGGTGGACGCGACCCCGGCCCGCCCCAGCCTCGCGGGGGAGGCAGACAACAGTCCGGGCCGCTGGGGGGACCTCTGCGGGGCTTCGGACGGAAGGGGCTTTGGAGAGGGGGCCTGGGCTGGGGGACGAGGGCCCGCTGTGGCGTTCCTCGGGGGCTGCGTCACGCGCTCTGAGCGGGGGACAGGAGGCAGCGCCCGATCTGCTGCCGGCCCGGTGCCTCCTTGCATAGGCAGACTGACTGATGGTCTCCCTTGAGGGCCGGCCCCCAGGAGCCCGCCAGGTCCCTCTGCGAGCCCTGCATGGCTGCAGCGCTGCTCCTCCCGCGGGCCCCTCGCCCTGCCCCCACCAGCTCTGCACGCCGCCCCGTCCAGCAGGATTCGGGAGCCTTTCTTGACGGAGGAAGGCCCCACGCTGCCCATGAGGGTCCTGTCCAACCTCCCCAGACACGCCGCACTCACCGCTGGGCCGGGCGACGCCCGCCCCGGCTCCCCGCTGCGCACGGCGGTGCTGCTCCTGCAGGTGGGGCGCCTGGGGCAGTAGAGACCTGCCGAGCGGGGAAGTGGAAGCGCGCCTTCTCTCCCGGGGAGGAGGCCCGGAGCGCAGGCCGTGTGGCTGTGACACGCGATGGCCGGGTCCCTCCCTCGCAGGCACAGCCCCCACCCTCTTGGGAGCGGCCAAGCGGGACCGCGCAGCTGGTAGGGAGGGGGGCCAAGGACGGGCCAGCCGGGGGGCTGCTGACAGCTGCAGGGTCGTTTTAGTTTGTCCACGGCGTTCTTACATTTTTAGAAATTAGGAGATGTCTTGGGTTGATCTGGATTTCCAGCTTCTTCTAGAAATTCCAGGACAGGGCTTGGGGCCCAGCGCACTGGGCTTACCAGGGGGCAGCTGAGCCTGTGCCCCGGCTCGACCGGGCCGGCTGCCCGCGCGCCCCTGCCGGCTCCGAGAGGCTCTGGGCCGACGCCCGCGCTCCTCCGCGGCCGTCTTCGCCGCGATGTCCCACAGCTGATGTCCCAGCTGTCCTGTCAGCCAACGGGGGGGCTCTGGCCGGCAGAGGGCACGCCGCCCGCCCGCCCCCGGCACTCCGCAGGCCCGTGGGTATGGCAGACACCACCCCGGTGAACCCGCCACACCCCTCCGCTGGCCAGTGCGGAGGCAGGTAGGGCAGCAGACCATCATGTTCCCACGTGGTGTGTCCCCTGAGCCCCGGGAGCTGGTGGGAGGACAGGCTGGGCGAGCCCGGCCTGGAGGCGCAGCCTTTCCGAAGCAGATCCCCCGGGGCTCCGTCCTCGCGGCACAGGCTGCGGCCGTTGAGCAGTGTGGCGGGGCCGTGCAGCTGCGTCCCCTGGGGGAGCCAGCGCCGGGCCAGGCCCTGGGCCTTCGGTAGCCAGGACGTGGCTCTCCCCCGGGTCTCCAAGTCCAGGGCCCGGCAGTGGGTCGGGCAGACCCCCAGGCCTTCGCAGGCACCGACCGGGCGGACTGTGGGGCAGTCACTGGTCTCAGGGCGAGGGCGGACCCCTCGCGGTGAGGCCCTGGTTTCACACGCAGGCGGGAGGGAGGGTGCCGGCTCGGCGCGAGACAGAGGGCGAGAAGACAGGGGCTCCTGAGGGGCTGGCTCGGCTGCGCCCGGCGCCCGCTGGTGTCTGCCCGGGGACGGCCGCAGCCGGCAGCATCTAGTGCAGACGTCCCTCGCGCTCGGGGCGTGGGGCCCGCGGAGCTAGCTGGCCCCCTTGGTCCACAGACAGCGTCCTGCCTCGGTGCCGCCTGGCGCTCCCAGCCCCCTCCTGCTTCCCGGGTGTAGTGCCCGGTCTGCCCGCCCCCACTGCTCCAGCCCGGCCTGGCTCCCGCTCTGCTCCGCCCATTTCAGAGCCCGGCCAGAGCATGCTGCCCCCGCGCCACCCCGGCCGCATGCTGCCCCCGCCTCTGAGACTAACCCTGTCTGTGTTTTCTTTCCTCCCTCGGCCCCCACGCCCGCTCGCACACCGTCCGCGCACGCACCCCCTTAGGAGCGCCCTAAGCACAGGACCTCTGAAGGGGCTTTCCTGGAGCGGCCCGCGCGCCCCCCGCAGGCCCCGCACAGCAGCAGGCTGTTCAGTATCCCCGAAGTAGTGGAGGAGGACGCGGAGCGCTGTGAGTTCCTGCACAGACAGGGCTTAGGGTGCTCGTCCCGGACCCGGGGGCCCGGGGCCCCGCAGAGCTCCCGGTTTCCTGTGACACCCAGGGGCCCCGCAGCCGGGCCCCACACCGAAGACGTCCTTCTTGAAGACAGAGGCTGTCGGGTCAGCCGCGCGGCCGCCAGGAGCCCGGACAGCGGCCTGGACTGCGGGAGTGAAGAGGAGGACCCGCGGTGGAGCTCCAGACGCCCGGCCGCCCCGCGCAGCCCGGGCCCCGGGCCCTGTCCCTGCAGGAGCCTGAGGCCCCTGCTGGCCCGGCGGCGGACGCTGACCCGGCAGAGCAGCGTCGAAGAGGACTTCGGGGAGCAGGTGGAGCCCGGCACCCTTGTCAGGAGTGATGACGCCCCCCCGAGCCCCGAGAGGCCTGCCCCTAGGACGTCTGGCTGGGACCAGCCCGTGGGCCCTGATGTCTGGAAGAAAAGCCTAAAAGCGCCCCCCAGCAGGGCGACCGCCCAGCACGCACAGGCTCCCCCCCGAGTGGCCGAAGGCCCCGCGGTGTGTGAAGTGAGCCGCCTCGCCGCCGCTTGCCGGAGCGGTCCCTCCGCCTGTCCGGGTGCCGCCCGGGCCTCTCGCTGGCTGGCTGCAGCCTCCCGTGCCGTTTTGAGTTACTGGCCCATCGCTTCCCAATCTTTTCACCACGCTGAAGATTTCTTTATTTTGCTTTTGAATAATGATTCCCCCTGTCCCCAAATCAGCGATGATTATGGCTGCTTTAGTTAAAGGACAACTGAATCTAAATTTTAATTAAGGGTTAGCTGAACTACGATGGACCCAAAGTTTGACAACATCCTTTTTTCGAAATGAACGCAGGGACTGGTTTCTGACTGCTGCTCTCGCAGAAGGCTTTCTGCTAGTGGTTTTTGGGTGGGTGGTGGTGGTTGCGTTTTGGCCTTTACCCATAATCAAGAAAAAGCACAATTATTGCAGAGCCCCATTCTTGCATATGGTTTCCCAAAGTTTTTTCCCCTGCATCCAGTTTTCAGAGTGACTTTCCCATCGTCAGCTCTAGACCCCCGCCCGCCTCGTCGCTCAGGCCTGGCAGTGGGTGTCGGGGCTCCCCCACCTCTGCTGTGTCCCCTTTCAGAGCCCTTGGCCCTGTCATGCCCCACTCGCCAGTGGACACACACAGGTGCGGCCTCAGGTGGGCCAGGCTGGGCTCCCGGCCAGTGCAGTTGGCGATCTGTCCACCAGGGGGCTCTGATCCACACCCCACCACCCCACCAGGCACCTCGGCCTGCTCCCTGGACTCGCCACAGCCGTCCGGACTGTAAGGCCCTCTTATCACGGGAGCTCGGGCTCGAGAGCGTCCTGACCAGGTCACTGCAGGGAGCTGGAGGCGGTGCTTGGAGGCCCTGACACGGCTCTAGCTACCCTTAGCGCACGCTAGGAGCACACAGCCCGTCCGGGAGCCCTGAGTGCGGCCAGTGTCTGCGGATCAGGGCTGGGTGCTGCTGGAGCCCCAGACGCCCGGAGGCCTGTCTGCGCGTGCCCGGCAGCCTCACAGGCGGCCTCGGGGCTGTGCCGCGCACCCCGCGTGTGTGGCGCTCGGAGGGGCGCCTGTCGGTCAGGGCTGTCCGCGGCCATGGGCCACCCGCTGTATTGCGGCCATTTCACCTTGGGTCCGCGCACCTGGCTCCTGCAGCAGGAGCAGCGCGGCAGATGCCTCCCGAGGAGCTCTTTGCGCCCCGCCCCGCCCCGCCCCGCCCCGCCCCGCCCCCGCCCCCATGGTGGCAGTCTGGGCTCCGGGGCTCAGCGGCTGTGCCGCCCGGGTCCTTCAGCTAACCTTTCAGTTAAAAGCTACGTTTAGTTGCCTTTACAGCTTCTGCTTCTGAGTGGGATTGATTTGGCTGACTCAATCCTGTGTTCCCTGGGCCGGCAGGACTCATGACTTTGTTGCTTTGTCTTCAGATTTTAGGAAACCCCGCATCTGCAGGACGGGCTGACCAGCTGGACTCCGTGGGCCGGAGGTTCCCCCACGGCAGCGCCGGCCCCCGGAGGCCCCGGCCCGGGGCAAGCCCCTCCATCGGTGAGTGCGCCTGCCTGACGCCACAGGGCACGGGCCTGCGTAGCCCTCAGCCCGGACACTTAGGAGCCTGATGGGGAGTAGCACTTCCCTCCAAGCACGGGGAACTCTCCGTCCGCCGTGGCAGAAAGAAGGCAGGAACAGCACAAGGGACATAGAGCCGATCTGTAAGGATTCTCACATAGGAGGCCCCTGATACCTTCAGGAGGCAAAGGAGAATCGTGCTCAGCAGCCACCACAAACAAGGAGGCGCAGCTGACGTCTCCACTTACAGGGAGGAAAGTCAAAAACCGCTAAACGCACGAGGCCACCGGTTAGCGAGGTGCCCTCTTTCTCATGGGCATCCCTTCCTGGAGAGGAGACGCGGTCACGTCCGTCTAACCGCCGCCGGCATTGTCTCCGTGGCGGCGGCATCAGTCCCTCCCGCAAACCTCCACGGGGTCCCCTGGCGGGGCGAGTGCTCGTGCGTGTGTCGCAGCTGCCACGCACCACACTCACTCGGTTCTGGGGGTCCCGCTGCAGTCGCACTATTTAGATGCTTCTATTGGAAACGAGAGAGAATATGAGACCTTGCTATTGACTGTAACCAAAACTGACGTCCGTGTCAGCAACGGAAGGGGCCCGCTGGCCAAGCTCTGTTCCTGCGCAGAAGGTCTCACTGAGTTGTTAGCAGACCCAGGCCTCCCGAAAAGATCCGTGATGTGAATAAGGCCAAGTGCTTGCTGTGTTTGAAACACCCACCTTTCCCGCAACTGAGAGGCTTTATCTCTTTCAACTGAATGGTTCTGCTGGCGACAGAAGCTGGTGGCTTGGTGGCGCCTGCATCACCTGTCTCCCCACGCACTGTGCTCGCGTGCTGGGGACAGAGCTGCCAGGGCTGCCGTCCCAGCCTGCCCCCCTCTGCAGGCTGAGCTCCTCTCATTCGCTTCCTTGCTGATCTGTGCCGCGTGCTGCCGGCAGGGGCCCGTGGCCTGCCTCCGTCCCGGCGTGCCTGGCGGTAGGCTGGCACGTCCGTGTAGATAATGGCCCAGAGCGATCTAGATGCGTGTCTACCAGATGCCTGACGCTGCCCCTGCACACGCGGTCGAGTTTCAGGAAGAGCCCTTGCTCGCAGCTGGACGGGAGGTGGCCGTCAGTCACCACACAGGAGGTTGAGAGCCGAGGGGACAGCGTGGGGGCTGTGCCCGTCGTGGCTGGTGCACCCTGCAGAGGAAGCCCTGCAGGCCGCGGGCGCCTGTCGGGGTGCCTGTGGCAGTGGCCACGGGACCCCTGCAGCCCTGTCTCTTCCCACACATCGCGCCGCATGCTTTCAAAGGCGGCAGAGTTCGCGTGCCTGGGTCACTGGGGCTCAGGGCGTGACCCAGCTTGGTCTGTGTGCCTCACACCCCTAGATGAATACAGCGACCGAGATCGGCTTTCCCCTGACTTCTATGAGGAGTCCGAGACCGACCCCGGAGCCGAGGAGCCCCTGGCCCGCATCTTCGTGGCCCTGTTTGACTACGACCCCCTGAGCATGTCCCCGAACCCCGACGCTGCGGAGGAGGAGCTGCCCTTCAAGGAGGGGCAGATCATCAAGGTGGGGCCGCGGCGGGTGGGGACGTGGGGGCGGCGCAGGCCTGGGGGCTGGGAGGGGGTGGCCGTGGTCCTGCCTGGCAGTGAGGCCTGCGGGACCGCACCTAGAGCAGAGGACCCGCTCCTGAGCCCGTCCGTCACTGCGCTGTCAGCGGGACGACATCCTTCTGAGCCTGCCATTCACGAGGCCTCGGCTTCTTCCCACGGACGCAGGTCTATGGCGACAAGGATGCCGATGGCTTCTACCGCGGCGAGACCTGTGCCCGGGTCGGCCTCATTCCCTGCAACATGGTCTCTGAGATCCACGCCGACGATGAGGAGATGGTGGAGCAGCTCCTCAGACAAGGCTTCCTGCCTCTCAATGCGCCCGTGGAGAAAATGGGTAAGGACAGCCCCGGCCCGCTGGCCGGCTGGCGGCGCAAACCGGCCATCGACGGCCCTCGGGCGGAATGCACCCAGGAAGCAGGGTGGCAAGAGTGCCGTGTGCCCCTAAGTAGCGACACAGACGGCCTTCCGATGGGGGCGGGGCTTGCTTACCAAAGGCTGGTGCACCTAAGAGACAGACACCTGCTTCTTGGCAGCTTCGGACCGAACATCTGTGCCTCCGCCCCCCTCCCCCCCTCAACATTATGTGGAGACCTTAACTCCCAGGGAGCGGTGTTAGGGGGTGAGAAGTTTGGGAGGTGACAAGGTCATGAGAGTGGGGCCCCAGGAGGGCATCAGCGCCCTCACGGACGGACCCCGGAGGCCCCTGCCCTTCCCTCTGGAGCCAGGCAGCGGGCCCTCGCCAGGTATTGGATTTTTAAGCCACATCACATTGAAAATCTTCATTTTCCCATGTGCAAGGAACACCCACTCTTTAAAAAGGTGTTTATTTTTTCTAAATAGCTGGAGACAGAAATATCAGTTTTATGTCTTCACAATTAAGGTTTCAATACATGAAAACACAAGGTTAAATCCTAAATCAGACTTCAAAGACAAAATTCAATGGTTCAAAGAATATGCATAATTTTAAGGATAATCACAGATGAACTAAAACGTGCCATCCTCTGGTATCAGTGAGCTCACGGTCTAACAGCTGCGGTTTCACGCGGACCTGCTGCCCACACAGAGTCCACGAGCCGAAGTCGTCGGCGCCCTGTGCCCCGACCCCTCCCTTTCACCGTTGACCTCCTTCCCGGACGTCAGCAGTGACAGAGCCACAGAGGGGACAGGCTGTAACCACAGACCCAGCACTCCCAGAAGCGCCTGCTAAAAACCAGCAACTTGAATTACATCATCCATTAGATAGATCAGACCTCTCTTTGTCCTATTCTATTTTTCTACGTGTGGCGAGACCTGTCTGTGCTTGTCCTGTGGTTCCTGGGAATCCTCCCGCTTCCAGGAAAGAGACTGAAAGCCAGGGGCGGGGGACGGGGGGTGCGGGGCGCGACCTCCGCCCGTGCCTCTCCCTCCAGCCTCCACTGCAGCTTCCGGCTGGCGGGTCGCGGAGAAACGGGAGTAAACGGAGCGCAGGCTAGAGATGACACGAAAATCCACGCAAGAAATCTCCAAGAGCAGATGAGAAAACAGTTCCCAGAAGTTCCTAACAAGTGAGTTTAGCAAGGTCAACGGCTACAAAAGCAATTGTATTTTCATGTCAGCAGTAAACGTTTGAGATTTACATTTTAAAAGTAATACCATGACAATAATACAACAAAATATGAAGTACCTTGGGTTAAGCCTAACAAAGTATGTCAGGTCAGTATGCTGAAAGCTTGAAAACATTGATGAAAGAGGTCACAGAATTGCTCAAAACATAGAGGTATTGTGTTCTCAATATCGTTATGATGTTGAATATCGCCAGTGACCCAGAGGCAGACGAAGCCCCACTCAGGGTATGTGCAGGCATGAGCGTAGAATCAACAAGCTAAGTGCAAAATTCATACGTGAGAACAAAGGAACTAGAATCACAAAGACACTCTTTAAAAGGAACAAAATTTGTAGACTCATATAGCCTGATTTCTTAAAAGTAATGTGTTTTTAAAAATTATTTACTTATTTATTTTTAGAGAGAGGGGGAGGGAGGGAGAAAGAGAGAGAGAGAAACACCAATTGGCCGCCTCTCGTGTGCCCCTGACCGGGGACAGAACGTACAACCCAGGCAGGTGCCCTGACTGGGAATCGAACCTATGATCTTTCAATTTGTGGGACGACACCTAACTTAGCCACACTGGGCAGGGATGACCTGATTGAAGACTTACTGTAAAGGCAAACTAATCAGGACACGGTTATGCTGCAGGAAGGGAGACACGAGATCGACGGAACAGAACAGAATCCATTCTGCTCTCCTGGGCCCCCAGGTCATGCCAACGGCTTACAAACCACTCTCGTTACATGGCTGGACTTTTTCCAGACAGACTTTATAAAAACTAAGACGGTAAAGCTTCCAGAAGAAAACATAGGGGAGAACTTTGTGCTGACCAGGCAACAGTTTCTCCAATAAGAGACTGAAATCATGATGCATAAAAGAAAAATAACCGATGTTAGATTTTGTCAAAATGAAATGCTTCAGAGCTTAGAAAGACACCATTAGAAGGATGAAGGGAAGCCACGGGCTGGCAGGAAGTGTCTGCAGGTGACTCAGCTGGAAAGGGGTCTGTATTTTGGATACACAACAAACCTTCCCAACTTGACACCAAGAAAACAAATGACCCAGGAACAATGTGGACAGATTTGAAGAAATTCTTCACCAAAGATACAAGATGGTAACTTAGCATGTGGACAGAGGCACGGCCTCTTCAGTGAAATACACAGGGAGCCGAGCACGGAAAGTGAGGCCGCCCAGCAGCCTGGCTGCCGTGACACGGGCCGGGCTCGCCACGGGGCACCTGGGGCGCCAGCCTGCCCCCCACTGCTGCCGCCGCTTCGCAAAGATGCAGGGCCGCCCAGCGACTCGGAGAGACAGGCGCTGAGTTCACAGCGCAAACCCGGGCTGGTGGCGATGCCGGAGACGACGCCGGCGTCTCTGGTGGCAAACGGGTGTCACAGCCCTGGCGCGTCCACGCAGTGCGCCCTACTCGCCGAAGAAAAGCGAGCGAAGGGCAGATGGGCGTGTCAGGAACTGGCCTCTGGTGCATCACCCAAGGGACAGACCCGTCCCTAAAGCCGCATGCTGCTGACCGCACTCCGACGCGGCTCTGGAAGAGGCAGGCCCTCGGGGACAGAGGGCGGCCATCGGCAGCCCAGGGCTGGAGGGGACGGGGGGCGGCTCACAGGGACGCAGGGCGACCGCACACCCGGACGGATGGCCACGGCGCTGCTGTGCCTGACGGTCGCACCGGGCAGGGCGGGTCCACGGTGTGGGTGACGCCTGGGTGCGGAGTGTGCGCGTGGGCTGTCCTTGTCCCCTGCAGAACTTGGCGGCGGGAACGTCCCCCGTGGAATGAGCTCCTCAGAGCAATGTCGTGACTTCCGGAACACATGTATTTTGTTTTAAGGAAACATAATCCCCAAGTCCTGCACAGGCGTGCCTGCTTACTCTAAATTAAAACGAGACGCGGGAATAGGAAGCCCAGGCGCCTGGGCCCCACGCAGAAGCTGTCGCGAGTCCCCATGAGCCGGGGAGGGCGGTCGCCTGGGCCCACTGCCGCCCACTGGGGCGGGGGCCCCGCTGCTTGCGCCGGGCATCACGACGGCTTTCTTTTTCCCCTGTGTCGGCGGCAGAGAGGACCAGAAGGAGCGGCAGGCAGCACCCCGCGTCCACGCGCAGAATGGTGGCCCTGTACGACTACGACCCGAGAGAGAGCTCGCCCAACATCGACGTGGAGGTACCAGCCCATCCCCCGCCGCTCCCGCAGCGCGTCCCCCAGCGCCACGCTTGGGCGCGCGGCTCCAGCCTGCCCGCAACCTTCCGCAGCCGCGGCTCCCGGCGCAGTGAATGGCCGTGGGGGTGGGGGCCGCCCCCCACCAGGCTCGGGGCACAGCGGCCCCTGTGGGCAGGGTAGTTTGTCCCCCAGACACAGTGGTGTCACCGCGAAGACAGGCCTGAGAGCCCCCACGTGGGGTCACCGGGCACGACGAGGCAGCAGGCCCCACGGCGGGGGCGCGGGGAGGGCGGGCGCACGCTGGGTGCAGGATGGGCCCGGCTTGGTGTCCTCAGCCGCCCTGCGGAGCAGGGAAGGGAGGCCTGGCCTTCGGAGAGGTTAGGTTTCACCCCGCGGAGCTGCTTCCTCAGAGGACAGCGCGTGTCTGGAGCCCTGGCACCTGGGTGTCCGGGGCGCCTGAGGGCCCAGCCCGCGGGGCCGGCCCAGAGCCCTGCCGGGACTCACACGGTGCCTGCGGCCCCTCCGGTAGGGACGCCCCCCCGTTTCATGTGTAGAGATTGGAGTGCATTTTTTGGCACCTCTACCAGATGGATTTTGCTGTCCCCCGCCTGGACACTGACATAGAGGCTTGATGAGGGAGCAGATTCTCTGGCCTCAGGGGGAAGGTGTTCACACAAACGTCCCGAAGGCCCCAGGCGCTCAGGTCAACAGCCGGTGGGTGTAGGCAGAGGGACACGGCCGTGACCTGAGTTCCTGCGGGACCCGGCCGCCGCCACGCTCTCCTGCGGGTGGCCGGGCCCAGGGCCGCCGTGTCTAACAGGCTGCATGCGCAGGCGTGCCCGCCGGCTTCAACCCTTTCTTCTTCTTTCGGCCGAGGGAGCGGGTTAATTCCAAAAGCCGTGGGGGAAAGATAAAGGAGTGACAAAGCCTTCGTGAGAACACAGCCCCCGCACAGGCCAAGGCCAGTCACTCGCACCCTCTCTCCAGGCTGAGCTCACGTTCTGCACGGGCGACATCATCTCTGTTTTCGGTGAAATCGATGAAGACGGGTTTTACTACGTAAGTGTCCGACGCTCCGGGACGCCCCGCGCCGCCCCCCAGTGTGTCGCGTCTGTGCTGCCCGCTGGCTCCTTGGAGCGGAGCACTGAGTGGCCTGTGCTGGGTCGCAGGGCGGCCGCGCCGAGCCCCCGCGCCCCCGTGTCCTCACCAGCACTGTCTCCTGCTCTCTGGAGAGGTTGCTTTGTTCCGAGGGCAGCCATGGCGGGGGGGGTGGGGTGGGGGGGAAGCAGCACCTCGTGGGCTTGCTCTGCGGTTCCCTGCTGAGGGGCGGTGCCGGGGGGCCATCGCGGGCCTTTCCGGAGAGACGCCTCCTTGAGTCCTTCGCCCCTTTTTAATCCAGTTGTTTTTTGGTTGAGTTGTAGGCGTCCTTTATGTGTTGTGGACGTGAACCCCCCTGGGGGTCTGGGCGGTTTTAATCCTGACGTAGGAGGGCCCTGTTCACGCGTCACCCCCCAGGCCTTGGGAGCAGGAGACAGGCTGCCACAGGCCAGCCTGGGACTAGGTTTCGGGCGCCTGTGGGGGAGACACAACGCGGTGGACCGCGACCCCTTGGTGCAGGCGGCAGCGGCGCCTGCGGCCGCGACCCTAACTGTGCGCACGGAGATGTGTGAGTGGGTAGGACGGCCTGGAAGGACACGCACCGGCCGAAGCCGTGGTCCTGGGGAGGTGTCCACCTGTTCAGTGGCCGTAGGGCCTGGATTTTTAGTGGGGACGTAGTTGGGCGTGGGGCAGGGATAGAGACACGTGGTTGGACAGACCCGTCTGTGCGGTCTTGCTGCGGCAGTTAACTCCCCGACCTGTCCTTTGCCCGCCCCACCCCCCACCCTGAGCTGGAGGGAGTCTGTCTGGCCGGTGTCCCCAGGACCGCAAGGTCCCAGCGCCGAGAACCACGAGCTGAGACCACCTGAAGCTCAAGCTGCGCCTGGTGCAAGGACCGCTCAGGCCCCGTGGCAGCTCGGACCCTCAGCCCCGCCCCACAGGGCAACTCCAGGGAGGTCACGGAGGTCACGGTCACAGTCAGGGCAGCGTTGCATTGTGCCCCTGTCAAGCCGGGGCACCCCCCGCACCGCTGTCCTTGGAGCCGCCCTCCTGCGGAGGGGGAGGCCGGCCGGAGGGCAGCGGAGTGAGGGTCCCCCGGCCCCGTGTGTCTTCAGGGGGAGCTCAACGGGCAGAAAGGCCTCGTGCCCTCGAACTTCCTGGAAGAAGTGCCTGACGACGTGGAAGTCTATCTCTGCGATGCCCCGTCCCCCCACGCACGGGACACGCCGGCGCGCTCCACGGCGAAACGGGTAAGCGGCCGTCCCCAGCGTGTCTCGCGTCCCTGCCACTGCCACCCGCGCTCTCGTACAGTCTGTTGTTAGTGTCACGTCTTGAGCCAAAAGCATACGCCCTGAATTTTCCCTCCACCCTTTCGTGGGGGGGGGGCGTGCCTAGAAATGCTTCCTTCTAAAACTTACATTTCACAAAAACTGACCCTTTCAGTTCTAATCGACCCACCTCCACGCACACGGGGCCTCCCCCGCGCCGCCACAGGCGCACACTCGGTCTGAGGAGGAGGGCGAGGGCCGCCCGCCCCGGACGCGCGGCCCCAGGGAGGCAGCCCCGCCGGGCCCCGTCCTCCCGGCCACGGTCCGAGCGCTCCGTGGGCGCGCCTGACGGCCGATGGCATTCGTGTGTGGTGTCTCATTTTTGTTTTATTTCATCACTGCAAGTTTTTATATATTACATTTTTATATATATATTTTTATTTCTTTGCTCATCTGCTTGGAAACAGAAGAAGAGTGTTCATTTCACACCTTAATCAGGCAATGTAGCCTTCACGTAAGTGAGCAACTGAAGATACCTATCAGACACCACCCTAAGCTACCTTAACGGACTAACACGGTAGACTTAAGGTTTGCTGTGGGGTTAAAAAAAAGAAATATGTCTCAACAAATCATTGGACCTAAAGTATTAGGATATTCCTTGGTCTCAGTTGTACAGCAACTGAATGTGCAGTGAGATACACCATCTCTCACGATCATTTCCTTCTATTCACACGGAGAATATTTGAAAGGCCAACATTGGGAACATATTTCTTAAGAGGCTAATTGTGTGTTTACGTAGAGAGTTCCAATGTCTACTCGTAACTGAGGCTGCGTATTGCATTGCGAGCCACTCTTGCAAAAAGCACAACCTCGCACGTATGTTTACTACAGGACATGGGCTTTTATATAAAAGCCTAACGATATCCGGCTCCGAGCTGGGCCGTGAGCAGGGCTGGCCTGGAGCCGCGGCAGCCGCCCGCCCGTGCTGGCCTGAGGGCCGGGCCCTGCTCTCCAGGCTCCGGGCTCTGCGTGGGGAGGGCCCACCTTCCCCACGAAGCACAAAGACATGGGGGAAGGGCCGGGCCGGCGGCACCAATGCAATGCCACGTCCTATGAGACGCGCAGCTCAAACGGTCGCCTCAGACGGCGGACACGGTATCTTCAGGTGGCTTTGGGGTGCTTGATGAGGTGTTTTCCGTTAGAGTTAGACCTTGATTTTAAATCCAAGCAAGCTTGAAGCCCCTTGGCTGGTGCCCGTTGCCTGCTGAACACCGAGCCCCGGGGGGCGGGGGAGGCGGCTTGCTCTGGCAAGGTCAGGCAGCGAGGGGCGCTGGTCCCATGTGTCCAGTGCGAGGCCAGTCGCCACCGGGCAAGGCCACCAGGTGCCATGTGAGCTCAGTCGCTCCCAGTTTAAGGTCGTGGAGACACTGAAACTCACCACGTGCTCATGACCAACACGACTCCACCTGCAGCCGCGTGTGAGCACCGACAGCACACAGTCAGGGCTTTGGCGCTTTCTTTGATTGTAATTAAGGTTCATCTTAGTTCTTTTTTTTTTCTTTCAACCGGTGTGCCATCTCCAGTGTTTCTAACCTGGGAACGCACGCGACCACCCCTTAGACTCGAGCAGCTTTCAAAGGCAACAAAATTCCCTTTAAGAACATTCCCTTTTGAGATCACTGATGGGTACTCAGCCAACTTCACTACCTACTTAATTTAAAATAGCTCCCCAACTCTTTGGTCTTAATTTACAAGGGAAGCGATTCCCTAGCTCTGTCTTGCCAAAGCGCTGCCCCCCCCCCGCCCCCCGCCCTGAGGACACAGGCTGAGCCAGCCAGGCCTTGGGCCGGAGGCACGGGGCGGCCCCCCACGCCTCCTGGCGCGTCACACTCGGCAGAAGAGCCCCCTTCCCCCTCCCCTGTGCGGTGGGCCGGGCGTGTGATGTGGCCGAGTGGCTTGGTGGTGTTGGCGCTGACACACTCAAACTGTCACACTGTACCTACTAGGTTCCTCCTGAGGGGGCAGGTACAGCAAGGAGAGCACCATCCCCCACAGCCCATCTCCATTCGGGGTCACCTACGTCATCTGTGGGTACTGGTAGTCCTGGGAGAGGCAGGGAAATGTCCTCGAAAAAGAAAAAGGGGCTGCTTTTCAAAGGCAAGAGACTGCTGAAAAAGCTGGGCGCGGTGAAGTGAGTCACGGCTGCGGACGACCTCCGACCCTGAGCGATGTCCTTTAATCCCACACGAGGGCTCTCGGCTCCGCGCTTCCCGGAACCTCTCCTCCCCCGACCCGGCCGAGCGCGCTGCTCCGCTGCCCGGCGCCCCCCGGAGGCCTGCGGGCCCAGCTGGCGCCTCCCTGGGCCTCGGGCGGCGGCCCCCTGGCGGCCACTGCCCCAGGCCCCGCGGGAGGGCCCACAGGTGGGCCAGTGCCCTGGCAGCGCCCCCCGCCCCCGGGACCCCCGTCTTTGTGCGCTTGTCACCCGCCCCTGAAGGAACAGCCCCGCCCGCCGCCCTCTTCCAAACGCTCGCCTCATACGCGTGACTGTCACTTTAGCTCTGGTCCTGAGATCCCTAGTCGAGCCGCCTTGATGTTCTGCCTTATTCCTGCACAATGGTTTGTACTGTCTAATAAAACTTCGCTGTGCACTGTCTGTGTGGTGCGTCCAGTGCTCCCCCCTCCAACACACACATGCGCACGCAGGGGTTTCAGGCCCGCCTGTCGGGGCGGTGAGTTTGACGATGCTGGTTGCGGCTTTCAGGGCAGGCCAGGCACCGCAGCCGGTGTTGCTTGCTTCGCTCGCGCAGAGCAGAGCAGAGCAGAGCAGGAGCTCCCCTAGGGGAACCTCTCCGCAGCCGCCCGGAAGGGGCACACCCCCGCTTTATGTTCCATTTTGTGGCAGGTAGATTTCCGTTACTTCCATTTCTCGTTAAAATGCCAGACACAGACACAAACGGCAGCAGCACACACGAGAAGCCATCCCCTCACGCATAAGCCACAGCAGAGCACCCCAAACCGAAGGCTCCCCCCAGGGGCGCCCCCCAGCCCTCCCCACTCGCACTTGAACAAAAGACAAAGTTGCTGGCAGGTGCATCCGATGGTTACTCTTTTGTAATTCTTGTCCACTTGTAAATTGTTTTTACTCTTTATACAGACTTTTCCGACTGCCTTTCTTTTGTAATCTGTGGAAGGTGATAAATGAGTGACAGAGCTTCCCCCATTTTGTCTTCAAAACTGTGTTGCCAACTGTAATGGAATCTATGTGGCAGATTAAAAGGGACCGACCTGTGTGGTTAAGTGCTGTGTGGGTGTGTGCATGTGTACGGCTAATGTCAACATTTTCTAGAAATAAAATTTGTTATTTTATACGATGCCATGTATTCTGTATTGTTTGAAACACGCGATTAGAGCCGCACAACTGGAATCTCCAATACGGACAGGAGGAAGTCCACGGCCTTACCTTTTCCGGAACTACCTTCCCTAAAATGGTTCTGACCTGTGCTTTGGGCATCGTTTACAAAATGCTGTCACTCGCCTTGGTGACAACCCAGGCAGTGGCACAGCCAGGCCATCGGCATTGAGTCAGCATTTCCCGTGCACGAGAGACGCGCCTGTGCAGTGGGGACGCGCGCGGGAAGGGGGCGCTCCCCACCCCGCACCCGCGCCCGGGCACGGCTGGCGTCCCAGCGATGGGGACGGGGGCACCCGCGAAGCACAGCAGAGCACCACTTCGCAAAGGCAGGCCCTTTTCCTAAAAGCCTCCTTTTCATGTGCTCCCAATAATGGGGGTTGCCCTAATAAGGAGCAAAACCCACACGCTCACGGCAAGATGAGATGGAACCAAGCACGTCACTCTAGGGAGCAGCGTCCCAGGCTGTTGTCCACGTGGAAGGACGTTTCCTCCTGCAGCTGCCGAGTCAAGGGTGCACGACAGGAGGGAGCCGTGGGGCGCCACCTCCGCGGGACCCGGAGCTGAGCCCACACGGCAGAGGGCGCCGCGGTCCAGGGGCTGGGGGCGGGGAGGTGGGCGGGCGCCCGGCGAAGGTGCACAGCTTTAGTTACACGCCAATAAATTCTGGCACTCGCATGTAAAAAAAAGAAAAAAAGGTGAAATGCTAGATTAAATGGATTGTTTAATTTCTTTTTTACTTCCGGGGTAAGAAATACTAATGTGAATATATGTGAATGTACTTAATGCCACGACACACCTAAAAATTGTTGAAATGGTAAAATTTATGCTATATATACTTTACCACAATAAAAAATAAACTGATAACAATTTCTCCAAAAGGAAAATCAGCAAAAGTAGTCAGGACTGAGTTTCTCTAAACCTTTTGAAATACAAATTTCCCAACAAAACCCAAAGCGATAATGAACTGGACTTAGCTTTGATGAAGATGATCAGACATTTAAGGAACACCAAGTGCCCACTTTATGCAAATTCTTCCAGAGACAAGAAAGAAAAATGCCCAAACTTACAAGGCCAGCGTCATCCTGATACCAAAACTAGATAATTACATTATAGGAAAACAACAGACCAACAGCACCATGAAAGGAAACAAAAGAAAAATCCTTAAACGGTGAGCAGATTAAATCCAGCAAAGTATGAAAAGGTGGGTTCGTCGTGCTGGAAATAAAAAAAAAAAAAAAACCAATGTCTTTTACTGCATTAGCAGAACGAAACAGAAGCGCACACTCTTACCACTTCAGTAGCGGCAGGGACAGCCCTGGGCAAGAGCCACACCTGCCCGGGGAGCAGGAGAGGAAAGAAAGATGAGTTCACTCCACTCAGATAAGGTCACAGCCCACGCGGTCCTCCGTGGTGCGGGCCGAGCGCCTCCGTCGGGCACCCGGCGGGACGCCCACCCGACGACCCGCATCCGACCCGCATCCGACCCCGCGCGGGGCTGCTCCGCCACAGCAGGGAGGGAGGAGGAGACGAAAGCCACGTGCGTGGGACCGGAGCGGAGAAAGGGCCCCCGTCCGCAGGCGACGCGACGGTGTGCGGGCGACGCTGTCCTTGGCGAGGCGGCCGAGGGCAAGGTCCAAATGCAGACGTCAGCTATTTCTACACACCAGCAGGTAACAATCAAAAACAGAAATTAAAGTACTCCTGTGTGACATACCAACACGTTATATTAGCATCAACACACACAGAAGATTCAGGGATAAATTTAATGAAATATGTGCAAGACCAGTGCACTGAAAAATATAACTATTGCTTAGAGCTCCTAAATCTTCATGGTGGCAGATACAGGAGTGTGTAAATTTGTCAAAACTCATCAAATTGAATTCATTTATATGAAAACTATACCTCAATAAAGTTGACTTAAAACAAAAAACAATGGCCTGCACGTTGCGGAAGAGGGGGAGGAACGAGTGTTCAGAGCTGTCCAGGGCGGGGTCAGGGCTCCCGGTCTGCACCGCGCAGGCCCCCCCGGCCCGTGGGACGGCGCGGGGCAGGCCGGGCACAACCCCTGGGGCCTGGCCCTTCCTGTGCAGCGCGCGCCCCGCGGGCCCGGGGCCAGCCGCCCCTCCCAGGAGCCCTTCCACAGGGTTGGTGGGGGGAACTGAGACGTGGACCTAGGTTGTCGCCTTCGTCACCCGCAAAGGAAGGCTGGTTAAAACCAAGGCAGGAGGAAGTGGATCAGGAAAGACAGTGCCTCGGTGTCACCTCGTCAACCGGACTCCCCAGCTGCCCAGCCACGTCTGCCCAGGGCCAGGCCATGTGGCGCCCGCCGCTGGAACCCAGTTGTCCCAGCCTCCCTGCGCGTCCGACTCCCAGGTCTGTGTGGGGCAAATGCGGGCGTCCCCGCTCCGTCGGGGACAATGGCCCGGGATAAACGGGAAAGCCAGCCCGTGCCCCTCGGGGCCCCACTGACGGGGGCAGCTGTGTGTCCCTTGAATGAAGTCCTTACCGCACAGGGAGGGGGCTCCTCACTGCCACTTTCCCAAGCTCACCACGCTTCCCGATTTTTCATGGTTTTAAAGACAGGACAGCCTTTCAACTCTAAGGGATAGTTTTAAAACTGCCAAGAGTAAGACTTTAAGGACTGAAGTCATTGACCAGCCATAAAGATCCATAAATAAAAACTAATGCCCAAATCAATCTTTTACAGTTGCATGATCAGACTTCCGAGTTTTCCTTAATACTGTGGCAATTTTTATCATTGACTTCCTGTCTCTATTTGTCATTCTTCTAAAACTTCGCAGTCCTCTCTTTTCTTTTCTTCTGATGTTTAGAAATCAAACAGGTTAAGAAACCTGGACTAATAGCCATGAACAATGTTAACAACAGTTATTAGCTTGAAGAAGTAAAAAACAAAACAAAACCCAACCCCCCCCCCAACCCCACCAAAATGACTTTCATTTCCGTTAATAAGGCTAAATCCAAAGTGTCTCTATCGCGCAGGCCCGAGTAGACTAAGAGCAGGACAAGCAGCCTCACTGAACGGCCGTGAATCAAATCCCCGCGGCTCGCACACAGCCAGTGCCGCACTCGCTCCGTCGACAGGCCGTGTGTGAGGGGGTCATGACATACGGGCATACGGGGTCTGTCCGCAAAAAGCCCAGCACGACAGTGACGTCACCTGGCAGCCAAGGGGAGTGGACTGGCATGCGCATGCGTGAACAATGACGACTTCGCTGTACTAGCCAGTGGGGGCGGTAGACGCCACTGGGTGAGCACGTGAACTGTGTGGCCGTTGCATTCCAAGTGACTGAGTGAGTAGAGCGATGAATCTGCATCCAATTTTGCGTTAGGCTTGAACATTCCTCCTTGGAAACTATTTGGGTGACTCAGAAGGCCGGAGCCGTGGGCAGCTGGTGATGGGCCGCTTCATCAGGACAATGCGCCCGCTCTTGTATCACGTCTCCTGCAGAGTTTTTGGTGAAACATCAACACACTCCGGTGAATGACTCAGCCCCTGCAGCCCAGACTTCTGGCTTTTCCCTGCCCAGGAACCAAAACTAAAATCACCTTTGAAAGTGAGGAGATTTCAAACCTTCGATGAGATTCAGGAAAATAGGCCGGGGCAGCTGATGGGAATTGGGAGAACTGTGTGAGGTCCCCAGGTGCCTGCTCTGGAGGGGACAGTGAGGCATCACTGTCCCATGTACAGTGTTTCTTGTGTTTTGTATCTTCCTTAATAAACTTCTCTATTTTTCATAGTACATGGCTGGATACCTTCTGGACAGACCTAGTACCGTTACTCAGCAAACTCATTCCTGTTTTTCACAAAAATTTCCTGAGAATTCCCGTGAACACGCAGACCTGCGTTTACGACAGCCACCCACGCCCCATGGCACAGCTTCCTCACGGGCTCACCCCGCTAATCCCGCAGGGGAAGCCCTTCCTAATGCGGTTTTACTCCGACGCTGAACTTTGTAAGGGACTCTAATTTAGCTTGTAGAGATGGAATAGCTTTTTGACTGAAAGTGCTCTGCAACAGTTTGAAAAAACACATTAAATGGAAAAAATGAATATGCTTTCAGTACAAACAAAACCACACTAACTCAAATGAGGTGATGATCACTGCGGTTTTATTTTATAATAAAAAGAACGGTGTCCCACTTGCAAAACCAACCGAACAGTAACATTAATACAGACCCCTGGCTGCTTCTGTTAAAGGGTCTTAAGACGTTTCTTTGAACAGAAATTTAAAACTTTTCAACTCTCTCTCTTTAATCCCCGGCCTGGCAGCCTACTTCTCTGCAATCTCACTTCTTCCCTGTATCTGGTGTTATCTAATGGCAGCTTTTATCTTTAAATATGAAATATCCAAATAAAGCCATCCCTTAGAACTGTGGTGGGCTTCCTACTTTATGCCTTCTCTCCTTTACAGTCAAAGTAAATACTTCAAAAGTAAGATTAATATATATTATAAGACCTTCTGTCCCAAGAAAGTACTTTCAAATAGTTTGAGAGTCTGTTCATAACACTAAGCACCTTACGCATTTTCCCCAAAACAAACAAAACTCCTGACAATATATTTGAGAGGCAAACAAAGTATAAAAATCTTAATTTTTACCTATAAAATAAGTCAGTTAATAACAATGTTAGAATTAAGACTCTAGACCCCCTAACTCCCTTCCCAAGTTTCATCTACAAAGAGAACAGTTAAAAAATTAAAGTTGAAAAAAACCCCAAGTTATCGTCCGAGGAAGAGGAGCGCCGCAGGCCGTGGCTCCTCCGCGCCTAGAGGTAGTACAGGCGGTTGGACAGGGACAGGTTCGGCTCCCGGTGGATGCTCTGGCCCACCAGGAAGGCCAGCTTGTGCGCGTACTGGCACGGCGCGGGGACGCGGATGACACCCTTTGGGGGAGGAAACAGAGCCGCTGTTACTCCAGGCCTAGTCTCTCTCTCACTGTGAGCCGCACGCCAACGGTGAAGCCTTGGGGCACAGCGGCTCCATTCGGAAAGCAGCCCTCCGGACGGGGCAGGCGCCGCCCGAGACACTCACGGGCCAGTTGTAGTAGACGTGGCACAGCTTGTACGTCAGCCTCTGGACGTGGTCCGGCTTCAGGCCGCTGTTGTCGTAGATGACGTTGTAGTGCGTGGGGGAGACGCTGCCGCTTCTCACCGCCTGGCTCACGATAAAAAAGTCGTACCTGGGTCACAGACACACAAACGGACGCACGACTCGCCTTCCTGAAAGCGCGAGTGAGGAGGATTCCAGTTTTCAGCAGTGAACAGGCCTCGGGGACACTGTGGCCGCCACGGCCGTCCGCGTGCGGGACGTGGTTAGGTCGGCGGCTGCTGGTCCCGGGGGGCGGGTCCCGGGAGCCCTGGCATGGCAGACACTTGCTGGGCACAGCACAGCACGCCACGGCCCACGCCCCCCCGTGCACGCCACGGGGGCGGCAGGGCCGTGGGGCCGGGGAGGCCCGGGAGGCCCGGCCTCAGGCTCTGTCACCCCGAACGCCCCTTCACCTCAGACCCTTCCCTGCTAGCTGTCCCCGCTGGTCTTAGCCAAGAGACGCCTGACTCACTTTACTCGCTGGGAGTTAAAGCACATCTTTAAGGGGAAGAGAGAGTGTGAGGGATTGCAAGTGGAAAAGTACAGGGACGAAAGGGTCAAACTCCGAACAGTGAAAGTGGGAAGGAACATGCAGGACCAGTTTTTCTCATTTCCTGAGCACCAGTAACACACCAACCCAGAGATGCTGTGATTTGACCTGATAAAGATTATGAGGAAATTAACTATGCAATGTATTATGTCCCCGGGAACTAGAGAAATGATAAACTCAGAGTTGATCTACAACAGATTACGGGCTTTCAGAAAAACGAGGGTTTCAGAAATGACTTCCCGAAAGAACAGAGGGATCGCAGCGGAGCCAGACGGAGCCCCTCAGTCCGAACTCAAGCTGGTGGTCACGCGGGTGCCGGTGACCAGACGTGGCTCGGGCGCCAGCTCCTGCGCTGGCGTCCCATCGGCAGCTGGGTTTCAGCAAAAAGGAGCAGAATTTTCCTACCTCCTAACGTAACTTGGATTTCCCTGCTGGGCTGGACCCACCGTGCACTCAGGTGAGCCCCGCGCGGGTGCGGAGGCGACCGCAGGGCGCAAGGAGCGAGGGTGCCCCAGCCAGACAGCGGGAGTGCCCTGCAGGAAGAGCGCCCCCGGGGTCCGGCCGCAGCCGTGCTCCTCCCTGGCGAGACCCCTCGGAAGCGCTGCCCCCAACACCTGTCCGAGAAAAGGGCCAAGCCCGAGCGTGCAGCTCAGGGGAGCGGGTCCAGGCTCCATCGTGTGACGCACTCACGGGACGCACCGTCTGCACAGTCAGTGCAGCGACGGCTCGGTGGCCCCAGGGTGCTCCCGAAAGAGCACGCCACGTGCCAACTTCACGCCCCAGCTGACACTGGCTCCTGGTGACAGGCGCCTTTTAGAAAACATTCCCAAACGTCTCCACACAGAGACAGAAGTCGTCCCAGGTGCTCGCCCTCCCGAGGAGGGCGCCCCGTGGGCTCTGCAGGGCCGCGCGCGCGGCCGGAGCGCAGCCTTCCTGTCTGCCGGCGGCAGAGTGGCCTGGGGCCCGGGAAGGGTAACTAAGTGCATCACAGGTCTAAACGTTCCGAGTCGGAAACCACCACCCGCTGACAAGGTTCCCGTGCACAAACAGCACAAGCCCTCAAGGCCCGGCCCTCCCGCTCTGCGTGGGGGGTGCGTCCCGGCAGCCACGCGGCCTGCACCCCTGCCCGCGCCTGCGCGGAACCCCTGCGCGCCGCTTCCAGCGCCCAGGCGATGCGCGTGGGCCGTGCAGGGCGAAGACCGCCGTGTGGGTGGGAGCACGGCGTGGGAACGGGCGGCCAGCCCGGCCGAGCTGGCAGAACACCGGCCCCACGCCCGGAGGCCCGGCAGAGCGCAGCCTGCCCGCGCCGGGCCCCGCGGGCCGCACTCACCACTCCGGGCGGGTGACCTCCACGTCGATGACTGTTCCGGGAAGTGGATTCTGAAGCCGTCCTCCCGACTGAGCAAAAAACCTGGCGTTCACGCGCTTCTTCACCACGATCACCGTCAGCCTGGGGCTTAGAGGGGATGAGGAGCACGACCCTTAGCGACGCTCGGGCGGCCACACGCGCCGTTGAGAAGAAGAGGAGACACGCCCCCTCCCCGGGGCCTGGGGAGCGGCGGGGGGGCAGGCGGGGGAGGCTGTGGGTGAGCTGTCCCCCCAGCCCCCTGCACCCCCAGATCACCTCAGGCCTGGCCTCGGAAGTGGACAGGGGCGCGGGGCCGAGGGCGTGGGCCGCGCCGCGTCGCTCACTTGTAGCCCCGGCCCACGGACTTGAGGCAGTCCAGGAACTGCGGCACCTCGTAGTTGACCAGCGTCTTCAGCTGGCCGTCGCCCACGCCGTCGCGGTACACAATGATGCGGCTGGGCATGTACTCGTTGCAGGTGTTCCAGGCCCGCAGCGCGGCTGCATCAGAACCAGACACACTCACGCGAGGCCACGCGGCAGACGGGGCCCCCCCAGTGCCAGGCAGGGGCCAGGGGCCAGGGGCACGGCTCCCGGGCGCGACCTCAGGGCCCCCGGTGCGACCGACCTTGCAGGCAGACTTTGAGCCCGTCCACCAGCTCCTGTCCTCTGTCTTGAAACACACAGCGGGAGAACCAGCTGTTGGGAGAGAACACACCGGGTCGCCACGCCCGCCGCCCGGCACGCCTTCCCTTCCGGGGGTTCCGCGTGGCTCTGCTCCCGCGGCTCCGGGGCTCCGGCGTCCTCCCAGGCCCCCGCTAGCGCCTCCGACCGCATCAGGACACCTCAGCGGGAAGGGACAGGGAAGCCGGTCCCTGACACACACACACACAGTGCTTTTCTTAGCGAGCAACCCGCCTCCCGCGCAGGTGCCCCCTGTGGAAGCTTCGGACCTTCAACGTGCCCTTGGTGACTCCCACACGCCCACACCCCCTCACGGGTCCTGGCCTCACCGATCCTCCCAGCGCGGCTGCCGGCACCGAGGCGAACGTCCGCGCGCTCTCGCACAGCGACCAGGCACGCTGGGGGCAGCCGCGCTCCACGAGCTGCGCCCGCCCCCCAACACAAACAGCAACACAACCTGAAATGCGGTTCGACCGCCACAGACTGAGGGCCGGCAGGGGACGGGGAAGGCTGCGGTGTGGGTCGCCAACCGTGGTGTCTGCTTCCGACCTCTCGGCCCCAAGGTGGGGGCCGTCAGCAGGGCGGCCGTGCGGCACCGCCACGACCCACCGCCTGGCAGCCGCGCCCGCGCGCTCACCGGGTCATGCCTTCGTTGATGCTCGCGACAAACCCCGCGATGGACCGCCTCCCAGCCGTGGTGTCGTGGTAGCAGTCTATGCCGACGATCATCACCAGCTTCAGCTGCGGGGAGGCTGCCAGGTTAGACACGCCGGAGAGCGGGGGCCCGTGTCTCCCACGGCGCCGGCCGCCCCGCAGGCGGACCCGACTCACGGGCATGTCCACTCTCCACAGCTCCCCGCCCATCTTGCAGTTCATCTGCAGGGCGATCTTCGTGGCGATGGCCATGACCGTCTGCTGCTTGCCCAGCGTCCGCGCCACCACACACTGGCTGGGGGTGGGGCAGTCTGTGCACAAGTACTTTTTAATAGCGTCGTATTTGTCTTTCCGATTACTCGACAACAGGCAGACAACCTACAAACCAACGAGATGCCTCGTTATAGACAATGAGGGAACGGGTGGAGGAGTTCGGGGAGGGCACCAGGAGCCAACCCCCGCGACACAAATGACCGCCCCTCCTCTTCCTCTACGTCTCTGCCACGTGGCTGAGCGCCACGAAGTGTGACGGTAGCTTTTATGTTCCGTTCGCTACATCCGACTGACCGACAGGCGCTGATGGAGCTGCGCACCGAGCGCACGGCTCACGGCTGCACGCCCGACGCCGGGCGCTCGGTGGACGGGCTCGACGGCCGCCCAGGGCGCGGCGGGGCCGGGAGGGGGCGGCATGGGGGAGGGGAGCTCACAGGTCGGCAAGAGGAGGGCTTCCTCATGGGCTCCGTTTGCACCCACACGCAGCCCCTCCCCCCGCCCCCGCGGCCCCTAGGGTCACGGCTCTGGCGTGAAAACCTCTTCACACTGTGAGATTCCCTAGGAAGCCCACGGACGACGGGGAAACAAAACGCGACGGTGTGAGCACAGCCCCGCCTGACCGGCGAAGGGCGCCAACAGCCGGCGGCGAGCCGGCGGGCGCGGGCACAGCCCGGCGACCAGTCACGAGGGCCGCCTGGCGTCCTGGCGGCTGCGACAAAGCCTGGGTCTTCCTGGACACGCCACACACGCCAAGCGCTGGCGCCGGGAGCTGGTGGTGACAGCCACACACGCTGTGCACTGTGACCCTGACGTCCTCTGCCAGCTAACCCTCAGTGAAATGGGCAAAGGACCCCCCACCCCCAACTCCCAGTTCAGGCGCTGGAGCCGAGTCCAGCTTTAACTCGCGGGTCCTCTCCAGCTCACCGCCCCCCCGCTGACTCCCTCTCCCCCACGCCCCACGGAAGCCCCTCGCACCCTCCGCGCCCCGGCACCCCAGACAGCGGAGGAGGGCAGCGCGGGCACAGACGGCACGGCCACACCTCTGTGCACGCTGGGCCACCAAGCCTGGCTTTCATGTGTGCGCCTTGCTAGTTTTTTTCCAAGGTTCCAGAACAATTAAAGCCATTGAGTCCGAACAAATTTAAGGCGGCTTTGTCTTTCCCTCCCACCCCCGCTCTTTCAGCACCTAGTAACAGATCCCTGGGCGCCGACGGGGGCCGGCGTCGACTTGGAGACCTTAGGAAGTTTGGTAAAGCACACGCTCTGTGGCCGGTGCGGGAACCTGATTGCAACATTCGGAAAATGAACTCAGGTTCTAGGATTTCCAAACATGCCCGTCAGACAAGCCCCTCCGGGCGGCTGCTGTGGACTGGTGAGCTGCTTACTATCTGGGTGTCCGACGTGACCTTCTGCTGCAAGACCCGTAAATAGGCTTCGGTTCTGTCGTCCACTTCGATCCTGGAACGGAAGCGCGTGACCCAGTACCGGGCAAGAGTGGGCCCTCCGGCGCGAGACACCGCGGTCCAGGGCCGGGCGTCAGACGCCACGGCGGCCGGGGCGCCGAGCTGTTGCCGAGCCGACCCGCAGCCCTGCCCGCCCCAGCCCCTCCGCCCCCACGCGCGCCTGCGTCCAGGGGGCAGGGTCCCGCATCCGGCCTTCGCACGAAGGTCAGCGGCCCGATGTTTCGAATACCTTCACCCCTTCTGCGCCCCACACCCTCCAGTGTCTGCTAATCCACTTCAGAGTAGCGACGCTCGATCAACTCACATTATTGCTTTTTTCATTTGTATGCCCATGGCCGGCGTGACTTTGAACAGGTTTTGTATCAGCGAGTTGGCCGCCTCGTAATTTCTCCGAGTGTAGACCAGCAGCCAGTTGTCCAGGGGTTTCACGCTGATCAGCGGCGCGCCCCTCGTTTCTTTGGACCAGTCGGCGAACTGGGGGTTGTACTCGAACTGGGAGAGAGTTCAGAGACGCCGTGAAGCCGCGTGCGCCCCAGGAGGGGCCGAGGGCCACCCCCGGCCCCGGGCTGAGCGTGGTCCCCAGGGCGCCCCCTTACACCCGGGCCGCAGCGCTGGACAGGAGGCCCTCAGCGGGGAAGGGACATGCAACGGTGTCCCCAAAGGACGGTGGCAGCTTAGGGTTTGCTCGCGTCAAGAGCTGCCACCCAAGCACTGCCGGATGCCAGACGGCCTCCGAGGTGCCTCGGCCACGGCCCCGGACCGTGTCTTCGGCGCGTCCACCCCGCAGCCGCCGCCGCCCCCGGCTGTTGGGGGCGGCGAGGACAGCGCCGCGCTGGCTGTCACCGCCGTGCCGAGCCTCGGCCCCCAGCCTGCCCTCGGGGACAGCGGTAAGGCCGCCTTACTGTCTTCCCGCCTTGGTGAATCTTCTCCGCTTGCAGAATCCTCCCCGAGAAGGACAGCAGGTTGGAGTCGAAGCTCAAGCCCCAGTCTCGAAGCTCCCTCTGAACGTTATCGTCTCTGTCAACCGAACGCGTCCGCCTGTCACCCGCCTGAGGCAGCCCCGCGCTGCCGCCCACGCCCTCGCCCACGCCCACGCCCTCCTGCTGAAACGTCTCTTCCTCACAGTCTGTTCCTTCGTGTTAGAGAGAAGAAAGGGAACTGTCCAAAGCACTCTGCTGTTTAATGCCTTTTCTGACAGAAAAATTGGCAAGGCCACGGGCTACAAACTTCCCCCACGATTCCTTCTCGTGGAAACGCAAAGAGCAGAACCACCGGGTGACCGGGTGACCGGTGACCGCAGCGGGAAGGGCGCCCCGCCCGAGCCCCCGGGGAAGGGCGCGGTGGGGGGGGCAGGCGGGGGCAGGCGGGGACAGGCGGGGACAGGCGGCTCACTTGTGGATGTAATCGATGAGCCTCCCCACCTCCCGCTGCCGCTGCTCGGGCGTCAGCCTCGTGTGCACCGCGAGGTCCTTCATCACGCTGAAGTCGTTACGCATCTTATCCGTCAGACCTTGAAAGAAGACGTTCAAAGGTGTGTGTCTGAAGGACCGAGAATCACATCCCAGCGCTGGAGCGTAAGGCGGGGCTGAGGGAAGCGGGGTCTCGGGGCGCGGCGGCGGCCAGGCCTCCGGGCACGGGGGGGGGCGGGCCGCACCTGTGAGGTAGCAGAGCTCGGGGATGAGCATGGCGGGCCCGGGCAGCGAGCCGCCGGGGCCCCGCCTCCGCTTGGGCTGACTGACCAGCACCGGCTGCTTCAGGTCCGTGATTTCCTGGTTGTATTGCTGTTTGAGGGGAGAAGGCGATCGCCGCTTGTCACGGTCCACGCTTCAGTGACGTGCCGGCGGCACACGCGCCGGCTGCTGAGGGACCGCGGCCGAGCGCGGCGCCGGTCCCAAGTCCAGCCGCGAACACGCGCCGCCCAGCCCGGACCCCGCGGAGGCCGGCCGGCGGGACTCGGCCCCGAGCACCGCTTCCCCTCCCCGGCAGCCCCAGGGCCGCGCTCGGGCCGTCCGCCTCAGTCCCGGCCAGGTCGCCGCAGCCGGGCGCGCCGCACCGCCGGGTGGCCGCGAGGACGCGCTCCCCACGGCCGCCCAGGCTCGCCCGCGGCGCTCTGTGGGGAGAGACGCAACTGCGGGGGCCCCGCCGCGTGGCCTGTGTTGTCGTCGCGGCTCCCGAGCCACCGGCGGTTCTCGTCACACAACCCCCACGCGTGTGAGAGGCATCAGCCTCCAGCCTGCAAGTCCTCTGGACACATTCGCTGCCCAGGCAAGGCACACAGGGAGCAAGGGGACGTGCACAAAACTGTCCCTTGGCAAAAAAAGAAAAGAGTCAGTGGGGGAGGGGCAGGGGTCTGCCTGCCGCAGGACACTCTGCGAGAACAGCTCTTACGAGCGGTGGCCCTTTGAAGGCGAGTTTCCGTCCCGCCGCAGAGTCCCCACGTGCCGTCCCACCGGAGACACGTCCACGCTGTTTGTGAAGGAGCGCAGCTCCGGTGCTCGCGAGCAGCGCACGTGCCGTCGGCTGAGGGCCTTTCCGGCGCCCCCCGCCCGCCGTGCCCTCCTCCTGCCTGTGCACACGCCGGGCGACTTCGCTCCCTTTGTCAGGAAAGCGTCGGCCTCCGCTAAGAACGGACGTCGTTTCGTTCGTCTGGTTCCTCATCGACGGACCCCGAGGCCCCTGCCCTTGCTCACGCCTACCCTGCGACAAGCCCCTGGCCCCACTGCCCCCCGAGTGAAGAGGCCGCGACTTCGAGCCCGTCTATGACTTTGTTCTACCGTGAACCCTCTGCCAACCACCCCGTCTTGTCTCATTTCAGACACGAGTCAGGGGCCAGATCCGCTCGCCGCAGACGGCGTCACGGGATAAACATCCCATCCGCTTCCGCTCAGTGATTTTTCTTGCTACCATTTGCTTTGGTGTTTTTTTCAGTTCAGCGATAACTGTGCCAAAAGTGGGAGTCGCCTCCACAGAGCCTGTGCTGGAAGGCGGCCTGGTACACGGCTCCGCCTGAGTGGAACAAGCCTGCGTGGGCCGCCAGGACGCACAGGGCCAGCTGGGAGCCGGCCCGCGTGTGGAAGGAGCACAGCCGGCGCTGCGGGCTCCCAGGCCCTGACCCGCGCCCCCGGCGGGGTCCCGGAGCGCCGGCGACGGAGGGAGGGACAGCCTGGCTGGGTCGCCTGCAGGGCTGGCAGGCGGGGCACCCCCGACCTCCACACACCCAGGCTCCAACCCGACCGCACGTTCTCTGGTGCAGGGAGCCTGGACGGGAGCATGTAACGTGACGCCATCACGTTCTGGGCCGGCTGCACCAGCGTCAGCAGCCTCCAACATGCCTCCCGAACATGCCTCGGTGGCTGTGGGCCACACGCTCGCCGGGGGCCGGGGGGGTGGGGTGGACAGGGCGCACCGGATGCGTACCTTCCGGTAGTACTCCAGGAAGCTGACCTCGGAGCCGTCCGCCTTCTTAAAGGTGCTGCTCGGGTTCTGGTCCCAGTCGATGTCGTCAACTCTGTATGTTTTATTGTTGTACCTGTGAAACAAGTGCATTTATTGGCATTTTCTTAAGGTGTCAAGAAAAAACTAAAATTTCAAAATCACTTAGCAACATGCAACGTCTTGGAAAGAAAAAGGGCGTCAGCCTTTTCTTTCCAACTGTGCTGGATACAAACTGTGCTGGATAGATAGGGAAGCAACTATACTCACTATTAGAAGATAAAGTTAAAACTAAATGGGGTAAAAGTCATTGATGTTTGTCCCGCACAGATGTGTGCGCTCCCCCGAACCTTTGTTCCCGAGGGAGGTCACAAACGCCCCGCCTGTGGGGACTCGCTGCCGTGCTGGGACGCGGCCTGCAGGCCAGTGGCACGGGCCTCTTACTTGGTGAGGACGATGAGGCCTATGAGCTCCTTAGACACCTGCTCCTGGAACCGGTGCTCCTCCGTCTGCTGGTACAGGCTGCACATGAAGTCGAGGACGGTCTCGCTGCGCAGCACCTTGTGGCTGACGTCCGTGCACAGCATGATGCTGTTCTCGTACTGCAGGATGGAGGTCGTGAAGCCGGGCCAGATCACCAACCTGCCGACACACACCCGCCGCGTCGGCGCCTGCGCCCGCGCCCGCGCCCGCGCCGGCTGGGTCTACGGTTCAGGGGTTTTCACTGAGGGACTTGACGTGTTGCTGGGGCTTGCGTGGTTTCATATACGGACCTGTCTCTTCGGGATCGTCAACAATGAATGTTGTTTTATAATGATTACGTAAGTTCTACTGTAAATTAACATACTAACTTTATTAAAGAATTCTGTATCCTGCCCCAAGACTTGAAAGGTTGCCAATCTAACGGAAACACCTCGAATTATTCGAATAAGCCCAAGCACTCGGGCCGCAGCGCGGACACGCCGACCTCTGCGGCCGCCCTCGTCCGCTGGCGGCCTCATCGCCGAGGGTGCGCGCGGGCTCCGCGTGGGAATGACTCACAGCCTGCGACTGTGACGTCCCGGGGCTCTGGGGCGTCGCCTTCACCATTCAAGCCACGGCCCCCGGTCACGCCGCGTGATGGGCCCCGGCAGCAGCCCCGTAGAACAGCGGGTCATTCCAAATCCACACATAGCTTTGGAAGTTTGTGGTGAAGCCCGAGGGGTAGAGACTCCCGACTCCACACCAACCTGTGATTGGGGATGTCGATGGGGTCGCTGGGGTTGTAGTAGTTCCGCCCAATCTGTTGCAGATTCATGATCTTCAGCAGCCTAGGAACCCGGGGTCGGAGCAGAGGGTGAGGCCAGGCGAGCACCTCTCGCACCGCAGGCGCGATGGCTCAGCTCGCGGCTGGCTCACCCCAGCCGGCCCGCGCGACCAGGCCCGCCCACCTGCTGGTTTTTGCCTGGCCGAGGGGCTAAGGATGGCTTTCTACACTTTGTTAAGGTTGGAAAAAATTTAAAAATGTATGAAATACACGAAATTCACACGCCAGTGTCCGTCCGTCAGTTTTATTGGTGCACAACCGTGACCTTTCGTTGCTCTGTGGCCGAGACAGAGACCGTGTGGCCCACAGCCAGAAATGTTTACCTTCCCCTTCACAGGAAAAGGTTGCCAACACCTCATTTAGAGAACACTCGATCTACTAATTACGTGAATTCAAAACAATTACCCACCAAAATGAATGTCCTAGTACCAGTGACTGGTATCAAGGACCAACGTGAAGAGGTAAATCAGACCCAAGAACTACACCTCCCCCTTCCCAGGCTGCGTCTCACCCAGGGACATGAAAGCTTCCCCAAAGCCAGGCCCCGGGCTTGGATTTGGGAAACACAGTATTCGCACCGAAAACAAACCACAGGGCGCGCCGTCTGTCTCCCATGAGGAAACAAGCCAGCCTGCGCAGACTGCACCCCGCCCTGCCTCTTGAGCAGGCCCCCCCCCCACTGGGGGAGCGAGGAACCCTCAGCCAGCGACAGCGGGCAGCCTCGGCACAAGCTCCCAGGCGTCTGAGAAGTGCGACGACCCAGCAGGTGGGGGGCTGGAGGCGGCAACGTCTGCCTGGGCCAGCGGGCGAGCATGAGCTCCAGGGCCAGCGCTCGCTGGGCGGCGTGCACGACGCTCCGTGCGTCTCAAACGCCCCCGCCCCCCCCCCCCCCCCGGCGGCAGGCGGCAGGCGGCAGGCAGCAGCGCACCTCCGGAAGATGATGTTGTAGAACTGCAGGCAGGTGGGCGACGTGGGCGGGAGCTCGTTCGTGAGCGTGATGGTCACCCGCACGTGCTCTCCGTTGCGGGTCTGACTGAAAACTTCGGTCACCTGGGGCCGGGGAGGGGCACCGAAATGTGCACTCTTCAGAGAGAACCAGGCCTGGCCGTGTGCCGCCTGCTCCGGGGGCGGCGGCAGGTGGGGCTCGTCCCTAATGGGAAGGGGGCGGCGGGGAGGGGAGGGGGCGGGGGGAGGGGAGGGGGCGGCGGGGAGGGGAGGGGGCGGCGGGGAGGGGAGGGGGCGGCGGGGAGGGGAGGGCGCGGGCACCCCGCGCGGCTGCGGTGTGGCCAGGGCAACGGCCATCGCGGGTGCTGCCGGACGGGAGCCGCTGAGGTTTCTCTGAGAGCTTCCCTGGGCCGTGGCGCCTTAGCTCGGCCACGGAAACCCCGCCTCCCTCTCCCCAGCGGGACCTTGCTGCTGCAAATAACCTTGTGCTGTAGCCTTTTAGGTAAAAACAGTATGGTCCCATCAAAAGCATGGCACCTCCCGATCAGGTCTTCATGCTGGAAGAGCAGAGCGGAGCGGAGCCTGCGGGCCTCCATCAGCGGGTTGTAGTCCACGTGGTACTGGTAGAGCGCCCACTGCGGGCGCGAGGTCAGCCGGAAGTGGTTGGTGCTGAGCCGCACAATGATGCCCGAGGAGCCTGCGGGGCCGCCCGCGTGAGCCCGGCACACGGCCTGCCTGCCCCCGCCCAAGCGCCTTTCCTCGGGGCCCAGGCGCCCCGCCCGGTGACCAGAGGGCAGACGGCCGAGGTCAGGAACCCTCGCCGACGCCTGACTTGGGCACTGCCGTCCTGGCCGCGTCAGACCCCAAAGGCCCCCGCTGAGAAGCGAGTCCCCCAGGCCACGCGACCTGCGGCTGGGCCGGCCGGGCCTCCGCGGCGCGGCACCGTGAGAGAAGCTGCGCTCTGCCTGGCCCACCTGTTTTAGATTCTTTAACGTGGTCAATGTTCTGTCTTGTATTCACACCGAGGTCATGGAAGTCTCGGCGACGACCTCCTCTCTCCCCTAAGGATAACTCCTGAAATCCAGCAGAAACCTGGAGTTCTTAAAAAAAGAAGGGGAGAAAAACGCAGAGAGAATTATAACCGAAGTAAGATGGAGCATGAGGGGAAGACCCAGCACCGTTCCCCGCCCCCAGCAGCTGGGCAGCTCCGGCCGCAGCCACGTGGACCCTCCAGCGGCGACCAGCGGCTCCAGCTCAGTGTCTGGTCCATCGACCGCGGAGACGTTTTCCTGTGAGTCAAGCGCCTCACAGAACAGCTGAGGATGACGAACTTCACAGGAGCGAGGTGAGTTTCAAACGACAGTGTCACTCCGAGAGCACTTTAAAGGACCGGCCCGACCGTGGGTTCCTGCCCATCCTGGGGCCCATGGGCTCTGCTCAGAGGCCCTTTGGGTTCCCAGCTGCCCCGCGGAAGCGGCCCTGGGGGCTGTCCAGCCGGTGCTGGGCCTTGACTGGCCACACTGCCGGGCCCGGCCCTGAACCCGCCCTGGGAGCGACAGAGAGTCATAGAGGCTGGGCTTGAAATTTTCCCTGAAAAATTGTGAATTTGTCGTAAAAAGAATGCATCTCTGGATATGCAAACCCAAGAGCCGGCTTCTGACGATAAACAACGGCGCCCGTTCCCCGCGCTCCGTCCATGCGGGCAGTGGGCAGCGGAGCGGCCACCACAGGGCGCCCGCCGGCCAGGAACGCGGGGGCCCTGCACCAAGGCCGCGCCCGCGCCAACGGCTCCCCGGGGCGGCTCGTCCTCTTCGTTTCCAAAGCACCGGAGACACTTGCCCATCCCCATGACAGCGCCTCTCAGACAGACCCTGACAAAAGCCGGGACGAGCGGTGACACAGGCCTTGCTTTTGTCGGCCTCACAGGGACCCTCCTGTGTAAGGGCAGGTGCCACCCTCGCGCGGGGGCGGGGGCTGAGCTTCCCAGAGTTCACGGGAACTGGTAAACGTCCGTGAAGGGAGACACCGCGCACACGAAATCAGGGCTGAGTGCCTCCCACGCTAAGCGTGTTTCGGGGCTGCGTCAACACAGAAATGCTATCGCTTTATTTCAATGAACTTCCGCAGAATATTTTGATCACAGCTCAATACGTTAAACATCCTAAGTTTCAAAAGAACTGAGGCGTTGGGATTAGAGACAGTGGCTGGGTAAAATCCTTCCAACGGAAAAGATTAACGCCCCATAAGTGGATTTTAATTAGGCACCTTAACTTAAAAAATAAACATCTCGTCCCAGAAAAGCAGTACATGTGACTGGATCCATCACGTGACAAGAGGCCCGTGTCCCTGGTGGGCTCTCCCCGTGAAGCACTACCAGCCACGTGCGTGTTTTTCCTCACTTCTTACACAAAAAACACGCGCAAACTCAGGCATTTGCCAGAAACGCAGAGAAGCTGCCGGGCCGCAGCCTGTTCCCACGGGACGCCCGCAGGGCCCTACAAGCCGGCCAACAGCGCGGTGCAGCTCTACGCCGTGAGGGCGCAGCGGTCCCGCCCGGGCTCCGTGCAGACCATCGCGTGCGGCTGCCGCGCGGCAGGGCCTTACGTCACCGTTGGGCGGGCAGCACAGGGCAGGGTGGGGGGGCCTGCGGCCCCTTGGAACGTGCGGCACCTGCTGGCACCACGCGCCGTGGCCCCGCTGGCCGCGGGGCCCGTGCCAAGCCCCGGTGAGCCCACAGCTGCCGTCTGTGCCGGGTGGCACCCGTTAGCCCCGGCAGCGCCTCCCCAGCTCACCGGCCCCTGGCATCGCGGTCGCCGTCGGCAGCCACTGCGTGCAGGACGGCCAGCCGCAGCCCAGGCTGCCGTGAGGGCTGCTGCCCGGCGCCGAGCCACCCGCGAGCAGGAACAACAGTCAGCGCCGCAGGGGCTGACACGGGGAGGGCGGGTAAGCCACGGGCCAGCGCCACGCCGACACCACGACAGGCGGCCTGCTGCCACCGCCTGTGCCTCGCCCGGGCCCGTCGTGGCCTCTCACCCCCGCCCCGCTCTGCCGCCCGCGCGATGGCCCAGGTGTGTGCAGCCAAGAAAGGAACTCTTCCGTCCTGTCTCCGAGGTCCCTGCTGTCTCGTGACACAGACGGCGCCTGTCACAGGCCAGCACCCACCACGCCCGGGTGGCAGGTCCACCGCGTGCTCGTCACCCTTACGGGTTTCACGGGCCATGACTAAGCCCTAGGGGCACGTGGGGACTCCGTGCAGGAGGCGGAGCCGGGAAGCAGCTGCGCCTCCCTGTGACCCCGCCCCCACCGGTGCAGCGCCGGGGGCGGCGCGACCGTGCCCCGGGCCCACCCTCCGACCCGAGCCGGCATCCGCCCACGGACTCCCGAGTGGACGTGGGTCTGCTTTTTCCTAGTAAGAAGCAAGCAACAGCCACAGGAGACGCTCGCGCCCCACGTCCAAGTAACTCCTGTCTGCGCCAGGGCGGCGAGGAAGCTCAGCGCTCGGGATCGGAGCCAGCGTCGCACCACCAGCCGCCGCGACTTCGACCTCAGTCCGCGAGCGGGATAAGCCGAAGCGTCCAGCGGCGCAGCCTGCGGCAGCACAGAGGCCGAGAGCGCCCAGAGGGGCTTTCAGACGCACAGTCAGCGCCTCCACCGTGGGAGTAGCGTTTAGCTCCCTTGTGACAGTGCGGCTGTCAAGGGCGCGCCCTTCCACTCCCGGGGAGAAGGGCGCAGGGACAGCGGTCCTCTCGGCTGTCAAGGGCCGCAGGGACCCTCTCCTTTGGGTCTGTCCGCTGGTCGCCGCTCCACGGCCACCCCACGTACACACACACACTCTTCACTCTCCCTTCACCTTGTGACTTCTTCACCTTGTGACTTGGCTGTTGCTCCTACTGGTCCTCTCTGTCGTCCAAGGCCAACTAACTCCCCCTCGGACAGCGGCTGCGGTGGCCGCAGCTGACCGCACCCCGGCTGCCGGCCCTGGAGTTCGAGGCAAACAGAGAAGAAGGCCCTCTTACTGCTGGCAGGCGGTACGTGTGAGATCACGCAGGGACACGTGACCCGATCCGACCCACCCTGGTCGTCCATGTTTTATCAAAGACGCTGTTTCAAGAAAGGTCCCCGAGGAAAGTCAAGACCAGCCCAACGACCCGGGACACAGGCCCGGCCCCCTGGGGTGGCCCCGCCTCCACATCGCTGACGGCCGCCCGGGCGGTGGCTGCACAGCCACGGGGGCCCCCCGAGGTGTCACCGCGGGCTCGGGGGGACACTCACCCCAGCGGCGCCCACCTGCTGCGCGGTCTCCTGCCCGCGAGCCCGTCCTCTTGCGCGCGCCCTCGCCCGGCCCGTCATTTTTTTCTGTCTTGAAAGGAAATAGAGCAGAAGACAAGGCTCAGCACGCACACCGGCTGTGGCTGTTCTCCAGTTACCTTTCAGCGGAGGCGGCGACTGTAACACGAGCGCGCAGACCGTCCGTCTTTCCAACGCATGAGTGTCCCTCCCTCGATGTGCTGGGCGCCACGCTGGGTGGCGGTGCCGCACCACGCAGGTACCGCGGCGCGACGCGACGCGGAGCCGCGCCTCCCGACGTTGAGAGACCAGGAAGGTGCCTGGGACCTGCCGCAGGGTGGGCGACCGCATGTTCCCCGAGGGCCCTGCGCACTCACCTCCTCCGCCTGGCACCCCCCGCCCCGGTGGGCGGTGTCACTGTCCCCGTGGTCCCCAAAGAGACTCGCCTGGGCCTCCTCTCCCTAACCTGCTCCTCTTCGCTGCAGCGTCACCTAGCCCAGCCACCCTCTCCCGCCTGCGACACCACGCGACCCGCCCCGGGCACAGCGCTCGGCCTCAGGGGAGCAGCGCGGCGACCCCGCTCCTGCAGGGGGCGCGCTCGGGGCCTCACCTGCGGACACAGCCAGGCAGCCGCCACCCAGGCCCCGGGTCGCGGGAGAACGCGCGCGGCGCGCTCGCGAAGGACCTGCGCGCAGAGAGCGGTCAGCGGCCGGTAGCCCCGGCCGGAAAGGAGGAGGGTGTGCGTTTTCAGAAGGTCAGCGAAGGGAATACGCAAACGCCCTCGCAGGGAGGAAGGCAGGACCAACGGCCGCGCTCCGGAGGCCTGCCAGCGGCGCAGCGACACTTCCCCTGGGACGGAGGGCCAGGACCCAAAGGGGCGCCCAGCCTCGCAGACACCCCACGGCGCCCTGTGGGGACGGGTGGGCGGGCCGCCAGGGCCGCTGACGGTGCCCGTCGGGCTGGGTTTCCGCAGCTTCGGGGACGCTCTGCCCCATGGCCACCTCCTAGACAGACACTCCCGACGGCGTCCCCCGACTCTGCCACGTCCGTGTAGCGCAGCGACAGCAAAACCCTGGCAGCCCGGTCCTACCTCGGCGCCCCGAGAGCACCACGACCAGCCGCACACCTTGCGGCGCCACAGGCTCCCGCTGCCTCGCCTCCGCCCCGACCCGAGTCCCGCTCCGCCGCCTCCTGGCTCAGCTCGGCGCCCGGCGGCCTGGCTGCCCCTGCGACGCGGTTTAAAGCCCCGACGGCTGACCCGCCAGCTCCACCAGGCGGCGCGAGCAGCACCAGGGCCGCCGTTCTTCGAGGCGGCCCCGACCGACGGCACCAGGGCCGCGCTGGGGCGCGAAGGGTCTGACGGGGCCTCGCCGCCGCCCTCCGGGGCGCGAGGCTCCAGGTGACGCCGGTGACGGCGAAGCCCAGGGCCCCCGGGGCTGGGCTCCGGCCCCTGCGCCCGATCACGAGGCCACCCCGAGAGAGACGCAGGAGGGGGCCTGCGAACTGGGCACTGCCGCACCCCCCGGCGACCGCCGGACGCCGCGTCCCCTCCCGGCCTCCGGTGGCCGTGCCCACGGACCGGCGCCTCGGTCGCCCTCCCCGCCCCGGGCCCCGCCCTCCGCCTCACCAGGCCCGCAGGACAGAGCCGGAGAAGAGACGCGACGCGCGACCCTCGGAGCTCCGTCCGCCTGGCCGCCGCCGCGCACTAACTGTCCCCGCTGCGTCCCCAACGGCCGCCCCCGCCGGATCCCTCCGCGCCGGGACTTGGCGCCCAGGCGCCGCCCCGCGGGCCGTCCGGACGGGCCCCAGATGGACGCGGTGGGTGGCGCTGTGGGGCGCAGGCGCCAGCGGGGCGCGGCGCTCTTTTTCGCGGTGGACGGACACGGGCTTCAAGGGGCCAACTGCGCCGCACGTGACAGGGGACGGGGACGAACGTCGAGGCGGGCGGCCCGCGCCTCACGCTCATTGGCTGCCGCGCGGAGTGCGGTTCCCAGGCCCCGCCCCACGTGGCCCCCGCGGCAGGAGCGCGGGTGGGCTTGGATCGCGGGGAAAGGGGCGCGGCCCGTTCCTTTCTGCGCGGGGCGTCGTGAGGGCCAGCGAACCCGCGGATCGCTCCGCCCGCCCCCGAGGCCCCGATCCCGCGCTCCGTGCGGCGGGCCCGCTGCCTCGCATCCCTAACGAGTCCCAGGTGCCGCCTCTGCACCTCGTGCCGGGTCCACGCGGACGAGGGCCACTCGGCCAGAGGCTGGAGCGACCGCCGAAGGCGTTCGTTTCGTCTTCAGGTAAAACTATTGTAAATGTGGTAAAACTATTGTAAATGTGGGAAAACAGAAGAGAATTACTTGCCAGCTTGGAAGCGGGGCTGATGGTAACTGGTTGTGCGACCAGGTGAGCCTTGCAGTAATTTGTGTGATGCCTTCTTTACAACGAAGCGTAGCGCTCGGCGGCGGCACGGTTACCCCTAGGAGCTTGTTTTAGAGCCGCAGACATACTGTCTTTTTTTCGCACTGTGCACGTGGGTGCGTGTGAGTGTGTCCGTCGGTGGGGGTGGGGGCGGGGTGGGCTGGGGACGCCTAGGTCCCCCTGAGGCGCGCCCCTCAGCCCCACAGCCACGCCTGTGGGTGAAGGCACCGGGCGGCCCTGCTGTTTCCCACCTGAGCTTGATCGTAACCCCCACCCCCCACCTCCAGGGGCAGAGGGCTGCACAGCGCACGTTCCGGGTCCCGCTGATTCCGCCGGTTCGAGGCGGGAACAAAGAATTTTAATGACACCAAGTGATTCTTTGGCTCAGGGAAGTTTGAGTCGCTTGAGACCAGTTCTCTGATCCTGACATTATTCACACTTAAAGGCTGTGTGAGAAAAGGCGAGGCCCCTGAAGACAGGGCCAATGTGGGGCCAAAAGAAAAACCCAACCCCGCCAAGATGTGCGCTTTTTATAAACCAAAAGGCGCCGTCCTCAGTGCGATACGAATGTGAACTTTTGCGGGACGGATGGAAGGTTTTGGTGGAAAAGATGTTCTGCAACATGGCCAGCAGGGGGCGCAATATAACAAGAAATAGATCTTCGCAGCCTGCAGCGCAGGGGACAGAAATACCCTGAACGGGCATGAGAGGGTAGAAGCAGAAGCTGTGCGTGAATTTTGCGTGTTTGCCTGGACTCCTGGCCACTGCCAAGCATATGGTGCTTGCGCGAAATACTCTCGAGTGTCCTGGGGTGTGCGGTGTACGAAATCTTGGTTTCCAAAGACTTAAGAAGGTGTGACTCAGCAAGATGGCGGTGGTTCGTGTACCCTCGTTCTAGCGGCGCAAACCAGCTCGCTCCGATCTTGAAAAGCAAAGCTACAGAGAGCGGCTGGGGAAACCCTGTTCCTGTATTGACCGCCGTGATGGCCCAGACCCCTTGGGCTTGCCGCTCCGGGTCGGTGTCTGGAAACGGAATGGAAACCAGGTGTCCTGTTCCGTGAATCCAGTGCTCGATGATCTCTGTTCAGAACCACGGGGAACCCCCACCCAAGTTACTGTATAGGTTAGTGGACATTGTCACCATGGTTCAGCGTCCAGGACGCGGGACTCCTGAGAGCACTTTCCTTTCGGGAAGAGGTTCCTATTGTCTGGACCCACGACCGTAAAGTCATATAATTAAACTTGCTGGTGGAAATTTCACCTTCTTCCTATACTAATAACAAACTTACTCTGAATTTTCCTCCTTTTTTCCTCTTTTAAGAGTTCTCGCTTAAAACCCTGTTTTGGAAGTTAAAAATTAAAAAAAAAAATTTCAATGGCAGTTTACGCTCAATATAATTTTGTGTTAGTTTCAGGCTGGATTTCTCCCTGGCCTGGAAGACGCCTCGGGCAGACGCCGGGCGTGTGGGCCGGCGACAGCAGGTGCAGGGGCAGCGTGGGCCGAGCGCCCACCTGAGCTGCGCTGCGCGTTACGAATTGGTGCCTTGGAAACTCGCCCAGCTGCCCGTCAAATCTTTACATTCGAAGAGCAAACATCAAATATTAATCCTTGCAGGTTTTGTTTTGTTGTTACTACAAAACGATGGAAGTTTCGCTAAGCTCCGTGGCGTGATGTGTCGCTGGCATGTTTTGAAGAGCTGTACCAGGTGAAGACCTGCCTCCCGCCCTGACCGGGAAGGCGACAGAGGATTGGCTAGGACGGGGTGTGGCGCGGAGGTGCCTCGGGCGGCCGGACGGAGCATGTCGGGCAGCAGGGCTCCCCCGGGAGCCTGGTGGGGCTGCAGCGCCAGGACGCCCAGCTTCAGAAGCAGCAGGCAGGTGACTGTGCCCGCCGTTTCCTGTGCATAACCTGGGGCCACCAGGCCCCACCGAGCCCCCACGGCTGCCCCGGCTGTGGACCGGCCTGGCCGCACCGCACCGGGTGTTTCTGTGGCCTAAGCACCCAGCCCAGACCCGGGGACGCCGCTGGCGGTCCCAAGCAGAGGGGCAGCGGGAGGCGGCGTGGGCGGGTCCGGGGCGTGCCGGGACGTGGGCCTGTGTGGCCCGCACACCGGTCACCGGGGCGTCAGTGGATTCGGGGAGGCTTGAGTGCGGGCTGCGGGTCAGGGAGGGTGGCTGCGGCCCCCCCACCGCTGGACCACCTCCATCTGCTGCCACTGCCAGCGCCTCGCAGACACGGTGGCTCTGCGGGTGCCCGTTGAGTGACTAAATGATGAGACGGGCACCTGTGGGCGAGTGACCCGGAGCGAGCCCCGGCCCTGGCCGCCCAGGGCCTTGTCCCGGCGTTAGAGCCGGCGCCTCCGGTCTCAGGGAGCGTCCTGCCGACGCAGCGGGATCGTTCAAGGGAAGCGCCGGCACTCGGTGTCACGCTAAGAAGGGGGCCTGCAGCCCCGAGCTACAGGTAGAACGTAGACGAAGTGGCAGCTGCTTTGGTTTTATTTACTTTAACGAGCACAAGTCCTTCCTCACTGGATAAGCGGTGGCGCAGGGGACACGTTGCTGGGGGAAGTCCGGCTAATGAGGACCAGGGGTAACATGATCTTAATTGGGTTGAAGTTAGTCTTTGTACTTCAAGGAGGGCTTCCAACGCAAGCCCCTCA